TCATCATCAGGTACCAGGTATCTCACAAGATTAGTTTTTACTATTCTGTGCTGCCCTCTATATGAGAACTATTTTATAATGCATGCCACAAGCCTTCCACTACCCCTTATTGGAATTACTATATTCCAACATGTCTCACATGTAAATCATCATGCATCATCTCTCCACCAATAGGAGAGCAGTACTATCATGTGACACATGTGGCTCCCTCTATGCACCACTACCATGTTAATTGTTTTATTGCAGCACCAACAAAATGGGACTGTGACTTTGAAAGTGGAACTTCGTGCTCCTGGATTACTGGAAATGACTGGATTATTCGTCAGGGTCGTACTTCTTTCAAAGACCAGCGTGGTCCATATCTTGATCACACCAAGGATACTCCTTTAGGTAGGTAGGGAAATGCTGAACTACTGATGTGGTGACAGCTGCGCAGTAGTTTCTTGTACAGAATAGGATTAAAAGCAGCAAATACTTGATAAAATAATGTTTGCATACATTAAACACTCATAATTGTTTGAATAAATGCAACCATAAATTTTAAGTAATTTTATTATTTCATCAAACATATCTTAATATTAAACCTTAAGACAGGGATATTAATTGTTTTCTCAGTATATAATGTTTGTATATATAAAAAAAAAAGGATTGAAATAGTATTCAGTATACATACACCGACGGCCATGAAAAAATATGTAAAATTGTATTATTTCATCTAATCTTTCTTAAATTGTTTTTTTTTTTTTTGTAAAACTGTCTATCCATGTCTCGGTTGTTAGCATACTGGATTCAAGACATGGTACTACAAAACACACTTCATATTTGCAGGTGGGTGGGTTATAAGAACAATTGTCAATCCTACTATCAATCAAGAGTAGCTGTTTCAGGTGATTGGTGCTGCTAATTATACTGTTCTAAAAGAATAACCACAATTTGCAATAAGCAGTAATTATACACTTTCAGTAATTCAAATAAGACTTACAGACAACATTTGGCCAATTATGGTTGTTTGCAATGATAATAGGTGGGTAACATCTATTTCACATTGCTGGGATTTTGATGAATAAATTTAATAAGTTTATTATTCCATCAAACATATCTTAATATTTAATAGTAAGACATTATACATTTGATAATAACTTAAATTTGTTTATCAGTTTTACACTATGAACAAGTTCGTTGACCAATAAAAATTACAAACTTAGTGTTACATTGTCCTAAATCAAATATCACACTAAAAAGTTCATTAGTTGAGGTAAAATTGTGGTTTAATTGAGGAACTTCATGAGCAGAACATGCCCCTTTTGTTTTCGTCATATTTCAGCCATGGATGGCCACCTTGTCAGGAACCTTTGGATGCTCTTTTGTGTTTGTTTTAACCGTATTTGTGATCAGCTTCTCTCTTTTCAGAAACTTCATGCCTACTTTGTCTTGATAACTCTTTTTTAGCATAAAGTTAAAGTGAAAAAGCAAAGTTTGCTTAGTCATTCCCAATCAATAACTGACATTGAAAATGGTATCTATGTCTAATGTAGCAAAATATGCAAAATGTAAATGGTGGAAATGAATGTTGCAATATCAAAATATTTTGAATGGTGATCTATTATAGGTAATAAATTGTGACAGGTTTGCAAGATGTTATGATGAACACTTATTTATTGGTAGATAATGTGTGTAGTCTTGATGATCACATCCCCATGGAAATCAGATCATGTGCATAGACATACTGCTCGTAATTTATATAGTACTCTGAATGTACCAATATCGGTTAGATGCTTAGACTGCCATGGGATTGGACCATGTTGTTGTTGTCCTATGGAATTATCTGTTGATAATTTTTGTTGGCTGAGACAACTGGAAGCCACTTATTTCAAATACTGACTTTCATCTGCTGTTCTGTTTTATGATGCACACACACAATTCTAAGATATGTCCTGTATAACATATTTGTGTTACCAACTGTTTTATGCTCTAATTTTTTACCAGTATTATAATATAAGAAGTGGTTCACAATAATTAATAATAATAAGGTGTAAAGTAAAAGTGGTTGCCTTCTTGTATCTGTGGTTTGGAATTAGTTACAGTGCAACACTACCTGTAATGCGCACTGATAAACTTGTTGTAAGGAAACTCTACAACTGGAAAGAAAGGATTATCTGTTTTGACCAGAGCTAAACTCCTCTAGTGTTTAAATAAATAAGTATTATTATTACCTCTTCTTATCCATATAATACTGTATTCTCATTTGCAGTAAATTAAAGAACTTGTGTTTAATTAATGATCGTGTAAAATGTTTTATCTTGAGAAAAATTTATATTGTAGGAACATTAGTGAAATTGTTTAGCCATGTACACTATCTAGACTCATTGATAAATTCCACTTTTGTTAAATGTTCTCCACACTGGGTGATAATATTCTGCTGTTTAATTAGTTTTTATCTTTCTTTAAGGACGATATGCTTTATTGGATCCTTCATCAAATACAACTTATGGAGATCTTATCAGTCAAACAATTCCAGCTTCTCGTAACTACTGTTTAATGTTTTGGTATCATATGAAAGGCACTTCAACATTGTCCCTAAGCTTACATGCTAATATTGGTAAGTTTAAATATTTGTTAATTTCCAAAAACTAAAGAGTTTTGATAGATGTAACCTTTGAAATTATTATTTAAGGCTCATATTCTTAATCCTTTTATTTCTGTGTTCCCATAATTCATTTTAACTTAATGAACTCATCTGGGATACTTTTTTATAGACTTGTATAAAACTATTAATGTTATGGTAACTTGATTAGGTAGTTAGTGTATAGAATCTAAGCTCTGAAGCAGTAAATGATTTGTTTTTTATATTGTTATGTTCATGGTATAATAAAAGCAAATTTAGTTTTTTATATTTTTATATTTTTGTAACTTTTGGTGCACACAGTTTACAAGTGAGCTCAAATATTGTTACAAAAGTTTTTTTCTTAGACTAATCCCTGGACAAAATTGTATTTCAAGAAACATATTAAAGTACATATGTGTAACCACAAGTTAGATGTTGTGAGCCGATAAAAATATAAGACCATTCATAGGTATTTTTTGCTTGGAGATGGTAATGTATCAAAGTCATATTGTGTTTAAATTTAATGTTAAATATATTTATATATTCCCACTTTTAGGAGGTTTGATTTATGGTCCATTATGGATCAAGAGGAACAGCCAAGAAAAAGAGTGGAACTATGGATCTTTTAATATTCAGAAACAAGCAAATATGTCTCTTGTCTTAAGAGCCAAACGCAGTGAGCCTGGTGTAGGAGATATTGCTATAGATGATGTAGCATTATTTCAAGGAGAATGCCCTGTATTACGTAAGTTCAAAACTTTGTTTACTTTACATGTGTATAAAGTAACTATTTAAAGTGGGCTGAGTGGGGCCCAGTGCTTAGCTTGCCAGACTGTGGATTGATGTTCCCTGGTTTGCATTCTATTACCACAAAAATAGAAAAACAAACTGCATTCTGCACGCTGGGACCTTGGATGCATTATAAGAGTGACGGTCAAAATAACACTATTCATTTGAACGAGAATAGCCCAAAAGTTAGTGGTGGGAGATGCTGACTAGCTGCCTTTCCTCTAGTTTGTCATTTCAAAATTATGGATGGCTAATGCAGATAGCCTTTGTGTAATTTTGCACAAAATTTAACAAAAAGAAACAAACTATCTAAAGCTTTATTAAAATCTGTAAGTAGATTAATATATTTTTTTTAAATATATGAATATATTTTAGATATTCCTGTATTGATCATAACCCCTATTTTGTGAGAGGTATTTTTATTATTTTATCTTGTACTAGATAATATTATATATTAATCTATGGTTTAATTACATAAAAATGTCACTTTTATTTTTTAAGTCTTATATGTTCAAGTAAACGTTTCTTTTTCCTTGTGATTAAGTGAAATAAAAATATTTTATTCTGAACATATTTAACACAGCAATTTGTTTTTTGTGAAGATTTACAAAGGTTGAAACATAGTTGGGTTAAACAATTAATATTTGTTACTTTGGATAAACTATTTTTGTATCTCTTTGATGTTTTAGTATAGATATTCCAAACATTCTATTAATATTGTTTTTGGAAATTGAAGTTTCTTCAAACCAAATGGTTTTAGACATGGAGGCAAAATAACGATTTGTAGCTTGAGGAAATAATGTTAGCACTATGTCTCAAACCTTAAGCTTGTTTGTTTACTTCTTTTGCAGTTGCATTTTCACTTTAAGCTACCTGTCTTGTTTCTGTAATTTTTTGAAGATCCCTATTCCCTTTTTTTAAATTAACAATTTTTAATAATCTTCTTTCATTTATTTTTTTATATGTCCATCATGGACATAAATCTGTATAATAACAATACTGTCCTATTTAGTTCAATGAAATGTGTAGTTGGTATATGAAACTATTCGGAAACAATGACAACTCTTGGATTGGCTTCATGCAGATTGGATGCTATTGCTCCTGATATCATTGCTACAATGTTATCATTGATAGTGGTACTGCATGTATGATCGCTATGATGCATAATATACCAACTCTTTATAGTCAGCTTCAATGATGGCTATCTGCAGCATCTATAAAATTCGAAACCATGCAGTGTTGGCTATAATTCGACACTTACTATCAGCCCTCACCATGATTGCCAATCTTATGTTCTAAACTGAGCTTGTTGCTACCTTTTAAACTATGGCTTCAAGATTTCCATTGTGGGAGACAGCCTAGATGTTTGAGTAAAATGGCCGTAATCCATTATGGAGTGGTAAAAAAATTGTGATTCTGTCAGCAGTGTCATGGCATAATTAGATGATACACAACATCAATACAGTTGCAACAATGAGTTAATAATCGCTATGGTACATGTGTCATGCCTGCCATGTAAACATTAAAGTACATCCACGGCTTGCATGCAGCTACATACTACTTATACATGTAGTAGATTAGGAGGTTCCATATAAACCATAGACTAGACTACATTAAAACAATTTGTTGTAAATGGTTATACAGCTGCTGTTATTTGCTAGGTAGTCAAATAAACTTAAAAACAACCATACAAAATATGCAATGATGCATTCTCTAATACTGCTCAAGTTGTATTACAATACTCACAATCATTTTTTCTGCATGTTGGCAGAACAATATTGAATAATAAAAAAGAAGAACAAATGAGTGATCCTTATTATGAACTATTATTGTGGTTCATAATATGTAAATAGGCTAGAATCTAACACAATTAAAAGAAATATACTGGGAAGTCTTTACTAAGGTAACAAAAACAATGTTTATATTTTTACCTGAGATGTTTTTAAACAATGTAGATAATGCTGTGAGTATTTCATTGTCAGGACCACTCCAATGACATACTGTGCTATAAATAACAAGAAATATTAACTGTAATGAAAAAAACTTGTAACTACTTAGTTTTCTGGCATTGATAAACTTTGTAGAATGTTTTTTAAGCTCATATTTTATTATCAACTGAATTTTTTCTTTGTGTATTCCGTATTTGAGGATTATCTGATAATTTTGTTAAGAAAAAAATCTGATATATAACTTTTACTATCTCAGATCATATGCAGTAAATTACAGTAACAACAAAACTGGGCTATTTGAATAGCATATCATATTTCAATCTATATTTCTGCTTCTTATTTTAAAAAATTAAGGACATTTCTACAGTAAAAGAGCAAATTTTCAAGTTAGCTTACTTTTGTGCAAAAAAACTTTCAAATGTAGCCACTTATCTACTCAGTTTCTGTCTCAAGCTGCAGCTTCTGCATCCTGTCAAAAATACATGCCACCCTCTATTGTAGTTAACTTGAAATAATACTTCTTATACGAAATTAAAGCTCACAATATTAAATGTTTTATTGATACACTTCACATAGTAGTATGAGAGAGAAGATAAAGAGAAATTCACTTATCTCTGACTGTTTGTGGGTTCCACCTAAAATCCCCATGAAGATGTCATAAACAACAAAAATCCTTAAACTTTTTGTTTTTATGTTTGCATACATGACAACAGGATATTAAAGGTTTGTTACCTTTCATAATCACATGTTAATATATTTTTCTTTATGCCTTTCAGAAAACATGCTGTGTGACTTTGAGACAGAAGATATCTGTGGCTATCGTACAGAATGCCCTGACTACATCTGTTGGCAGAGGATACAAGGAAGTACTCAGACAAAAGGAACAGGCCCAACTTCAGATCATACCTATGGAACAAATGAAGGCAAGTAGAGATAATGCTCCTTCTTAAATAAATGTATATATATATATATATATGTTGAAGCTTTCAGATATGCTAGTGAGTACATTCTATCTGTTACTCACAAAAATATGCAAGTTTATTAGATTTAAAGTGAAGAGTTATCATTTGTCTTATTTTATTTTGAAGAAAGTAACAAAATAAAAAAAATTTAATAATCACTCCCAATATATGACAAGACATTAAAAAACCCTTAAAAAATTGCTACAGATAAGTTTGTTTGAAGAGAAATTCAAAATGGAAAAATTTGGGATTTTATTTTGTTCCTTTGTTCAACATATTTAATATAAGCTTCACATTATCTTAAATATGTTTTAAACTGTTATGTTGAGTGTGTTTTGTTCTGTGTGATATAAGGAATAATTTGAAAAATAAAAGTCTAATAATCCACCAAACCCTAAATAAAGAAAAAATGTAGTCAGGCAGCATAAACGTAGTTTTATGATTGGGGTTATATGCATTAGAAGCAATAGTACTGGAACAAAAGTACATTACCATCATCAATTCCTGATAAACAGCTTCAATTAGTGTAATAAGATCTGTTTTCTTATTTAAGTGTGAGATATATATCACAAGTATATGTTTTCAATAAATATTAAAATATTTATAAATTTCATGTTTAATGTCTTAATAAGTACCTCAGTAATGTATTTTTCTAAGTTGAAAAAGTAATTGTTTATAATACATTTTTAGAAGGTAGCAAGCAAAACTTTTCTTTTTTGAACCTTGATTTTATGATGTGTTATTATGAAAAAGTTGAGAAACAACTAACTGTAAAAGGTGGCATGAGAAACTTATTTCGTTTAAATCTATAAATGTCTGTTTTTGTAGCAGCTCTTGAAAAACCTCAGATAGCTTTAGATCACTGTGTGGTTTTAATCTTGAAGCGGTTTATTGGTCTTTTTATTTCAACTTGCAAATTCTTCATTGGGAGTGTTAGTGCAAATGTTTTCTTCATGCCAGGTCACTATATGGTGGTGCAACCATCACAGAAAGGAAGAAACCCTTCTAACAACAAGGCCTATTTAGTTATGCCTAAAATTCCAAGCACAGAGAACACAGGAGGTTGTTTGCATTTTTGGTACCATATGTTTGGGAAAGACATATACAAATTGAACATCTATATTCGACCTCTCCAAGGAGAATTAGCATATCCGCTCTGGTCTCGTAATAGTCAGCATTACAACTCTTGGCGTATTGGACAAGTCACAGTCAGCACTCCATTTGTTCATGATGTAGGCTATATATTTAATTAAAACACTTACCAAAATTATAATAGTGCCAAATTATGTATTAAGTATATTTTATTGTTTAATACTTAAAATGTATTTATATATGTTTTGCATTTTTTTTATTTAAAATTTTGATTATCTTCCAAAATTTCACTTCATTATTTCTCTGTTTCAGTCTTTTTTTTTATCATATAAGCTAAAGGGTAGGTCACTACATTGTTTCTTAATTTTATTATGAACTTAATGAATTGCTTTTTGTGATCAGCCTTTTTATTGTATCATATCTATGACTTCTGAAAGCTCATTAATTGTGTATTTGTTTGAATTCTTCTTTATTTATCATAAGTAATCCATAATCATATAGTTATCTGATGAATAAATAAAATAAGGTTATAATTTTATTCTTCTATACCATTAAACAGAAAAATTGGTTAAAAGAGAATGAACATTTATTTTTTTGCTAACAAAATATGAAAGGCTGGAAGGCTGAGTATATTTTTGGATTTACTACAAGTCACTGACTAGAGCCAAATTTGAAAAATTCCAACCCTTTATCTGTAATATATTGCAATTCCAAGAATAGATTTTGCTTTGATTTTTTCTGCTAAAATTTATAATTTTGGTGTTAAGAAAGAAAAGGATATATTTGTTAATTGTCTGTTCTGAAAGCATTGTAGGAATATTTGCATAAAGTAGTTTGGATTGGTTTTGAAAGTATTCTTTATAGTAACTAATGGATTGCATATTTGTTTATAGTTTTAGTTCTTTGTTCTTAGTATTTTTTAATGCATTCATCTTGGGGTTGCCAAAATGTTTCCTTTTCATTTATAGACATATTGTTTTAGAAGTTCCTGTCTTTTTTCTTTCAAGCTAATATATTTATTTTTAATGTTATATTAGAAGTAAAATGATAAGATAAAATACTTAAAGTGTAATTTTCCTAATGAGGAAATATCCTGTATTAAAATAATTTCCCGTCTTTCTAAGAAGGAACAAGTAGAAACATTATGACAGGTATATGGGTGATTCACTATACACATAGGTGGGATTGCACAGTGGCTAGGGGGGAGCATTTGGTTCCGCCACTTTGTTTTAACTGTGGGATATAGTCTTCACATGACATTCACAATAATTAATAAGACTCTCTCCAAACACACATTTTGGTCCCAGATTTCACCCATGATCCAAAATGTATATTTATGAAGAAATAAATGTATTTTTAACATAATATGGACTGAAGTTGTAATGAAATATGTAGCATCAAAAACTTTGAACAAAAAGTACATTAAAATGTTTGTTGGATTAGTCTTGAAAGATTTATATACATCCTACCAGTTATTTATTATTATTATATTTTCACTTTAATAAAATGATAGATTGTCCATTTTAGTCCATATTGATGAAAGAGAAGGTAATAATAATTCAGTTAACAAAATCCTATGTTTGATTTTGAAAACATTTTGTGACAAATTGATTCAAGTGTGTTAGTTATCTGTTAATACAAAAACAATAAATTTTACTTAATTCATTGGTTCATAAAAGAAATTATATTTTATCAAATCTTATTCGGATCTTGTTTACTTTCTATGAAAATGAAATAAAGATAATGTAAGGTGTAATGAGAAAGGTCACATTTCACTGCAGGTATTTGCTTATCCAATTTATCTTAGTTTGCTACTGACTTCAGTACATAATGGATTCATTAAAAATAAGGTGATAAACAATCTGGAGTCAAATGTGGTAGTGCTGTTACAATACAACTATAAAGATACAAAAACTTTCTTTCTTTGTCAATGTGTAGGCATTTTACATGCATCTTAATGTAAAGATGGTTTTGTTTTTATATCAGTTCCTGATATGGGAAATAATATGTATTTTTGTGTAAAAATGTCAACATTTCCTGTTTTCTAGATTGTCTTTGAAGCTGTTACAGGCCATGGGGAGCAAGGTGATATTGCACTTGATGACCTCATGTTAACAGATGGAGAATGTCCATCACCAGGAAGTTGTGACTTTGAAAAAGACCTGTGCACATGGATGAATGTAGAAACACAAGACTTACAGTGGCTGAGGAATCAAGGTCCCACCCCAACTGAAAATACAGGACCAACAACAGACCACACTTTTGAAAATCTTGAAGGTTAGATGTGTAAATTGCTTGTGGTTTCATGAATTTGTTCATTACATGGGCCTAATGATGCGAGTCACAAAAAAGTAAACAAAAACATCATCAACATTGCAGTTACTTTGATTAATTACTTCTGGGGTTCCCTATTTATTTTATGCAGAAAATTGGTGTTTTGTTCAAATTTCTTTATCCAGTTCTTTACTTTGAGCATTATAACAGGGAAACAATGCGGGTGGTGAATCATGTAAAAACAACTCAATATGAGATATCATGGTTTTGTTTCAAAGGCAAAGTATTTAAAAATAACTTCCTTCTTTTGAGATTTTATATTACAGGCACAAAATATGATCATTGTTGATAATGTCATTGTATCCTGTTTTTATCTTAAGCATAACTCATGTTTTTAAGTCTTAACTCAGTTGTCTTTTATGCTTGGTGTAGTCCTCTGAAAATGTCAAAACATTCAGTTTTCTTATCTGTTGTTTAACATAGGGTACATCTTTTTAATATTTTTGTGTTTTGTTTTTGTCCTTTGTGTGATCAGATTATTTTGGAAAACACCCAAGTTTTGACCCCTTTGTGTTATTTTTTACTTTAACAAACCAACTTTTATTCTATTTGATGGAACCATTTCTAGGAAAGTAGAAAAACGACTAAGCCTCTGCTTACTGCAAACAATAGTGAAAGCAGCTGTAATATACAGCAAAATACCACAAATTCAACCTCTTTTACAGCCTACATTGAAACTGATAACACTGATTCGACATTAATTTAATTTCTCATATTTGTTCAACTATGGATGCAACTACCAAATGTCTTAATAAACACCCATTTGATACCAACAAGTGACAACTTCCTTATGCTAATGAAGATAATGAAATGAAAATCATGGATGTGAGGAAAAAGTCATGAACATTTTAAAAAGATATAGAAATCATTAAGTGTAGGCAAACTTACATCCCCAAGAACAATTAGTTCATGAAAAGCTTAAAAAAGATAATTAACATCATTATTCTAGAATCAGAGAAATGTAAGGGTTTTCTAGTTATGAGCAGAAATATTTACAAACAAAAATATTTGATCACCTAAAAGACGAGAATAAATTTCAAATACTTAACAGTGAACCCACCAAACAAATTCAGATAAAAACTAAAGAGATTATTCATGAAATTACATAAACAAGTAACCTCCTTAAGAAGCTTTTAAATCAATTTAAACCCTCTAATATCTATATTACAGAATTATATGGTTTACCAAAAGAACATAAACTGCATATGCCAATATGCCACTGAAAGTTTGTCTTGGCTTATTCATACAATTTTACTGCTATTACTAAATTATGTTTCAGCACACTTAGCTAATATTGAAGACCTGCTATTGTGAATCAAGAATGTATCTCACATAGTGATTACTCTTTATAGTGGATGACATAGCTCTGTACTTATCTATACAGACATAAGATGGCATCAGTGCAGTGTGTAAGTTTATGTTGAATTACATAAACAATTTGGAAATATACAGACTGACAACAGACACTGTCAGCGAAATCTTACATTTCATTCTTCACAATGGATATTTTTGTTTTTACAAAAAACTGTATCTTCAATTAAGTAGTGTCACAATGGGTAATAGAGTCACTATTATTTATTCTGTAATATTTACGCATGTTTTTGAAATAATGGCACTCAAAGTGACATCAAAATATCAACACTGGTCTTGATCTCTTATTTAAGATACATTGATGACGTGTTTAGAGTATAGAACCATGGCCTTCCTTCTTTAATCAAATTTTTAAACTTTCTAAATTCCATAGACCCCAACATTCAATTCACCCTGAATCACTTGAATGACAAGAGGAACACAGATTTTCTTGACGTTACCTTAAGGATCAACAATGACAATAATATACGATCTACTTTGTTTCAAAAATTAATTAGAAAACCTCATTTTCTTAACTTCAACTCCCATCATCCCAAAGCTTCCAAGCAAGGTGCAATTATTGGAGAATTAAAAAGAGTCATTCACAACTATATTGAAAAAACACAACATTCTATGAACTAATATCACTCCATTTGAGCAATGAATATAAACCTTTTTACAATAAATAAATTTGCAAAGACTATGAAACACAAAAATAGGCATCACAACTCTAACATGAAAAAAAAGATGAACCAGGAGGGAAAAAAACAATTTTCCAAATAAAAACAAAAAATTACTTTTATCGTACCTCTAATTAGTGAAACTATCTCCAATAATATAAAACTATAATCAGAAAATCTGAACTGCTGATTAAAGTTATAGAACAGCCAGGTCCAACTTTCAAAATCTCAGTACACTACCCTGAAATGTAATAAAGCCAACTGTCTTATAAAAACGTGTTTGCAATCTAAAGATGGATGTTTTGTCTCTAATGTTGTTTAACCAGCTTACGTGTAACATCTGCCATCATACGTACATTGTGGAAACTAGAAGCACCCTACACTCAAGGATAGGGTAATATATTGACTCTCTTTATAAACAACATAAAAGAAGCTCAGTTACAGATAATTTTTTATGGTGAACATGGACAAATAACATCTGACTTGGAACCACCATTCTCTGTACAAATTCTTATAAAAGCTACCAAGTACTTTGACCAAAAATTTAAAAAAGTTATTCTCATCAAATAACTATGACCACAGATAAATAGAGACAAAAAATGGCACCTATAATTATAATTATTATTTTTTTTTTTGCTATTTCAATGTGTAACTTGGATAGAACTTTTGTTAACTATAAGTGTCAATTAATTATTTCAACAATAAGCTTTACTGTTTAATATGTCAAAGGCATGCTGTAAAAATGCAAGCTATAGATTCTGTTAGAACTTATTATTTAAACCATTTTAAGTTTTTACTGTCATTTACAGTTTGGGTTTTAGTGGAATGCTCTTGAAGAAGCTGTAAAGTGAAACACTGAGTGTCCAAGTCAAAAAAAAAAAATGGTTTTATAAGGTCGTTTATTTGTAGGATTAAAACATCTTTTATACACTACAGAAATTAAACGGTAGTTTATTTTATCATTCTCTGTTATACTTTTATCTAACATATTCTTCATAAAAATGGGTGTTATTAGTGAAAATATCTATTAAGTAAAATTCTAGAACATGCTGTGAGGAAATAATTAGCTCAGAAGATCCCCAAAAAATCAAGGAGATTTCAAAAGACCAATTCCAGCACTTTTAAATAGTTGAATTGTTGTAATAACTGTAATAAGTGGTTATGTCTTCTGTACAGATTGAGATTTTTTTGTAGATTGTGATATATGGTAGATTCTGAATGGATATGAAGTCAGAGGAATAATGTTATTCATATCATGGAATAATTCTGTTGAATAAAATTTCGTCTTGAACAACAGCCTCTGGCATAGCTAGAGTACTCTGAGATAAACGTTAAGGAGTTTCTATTGTCACATGTAAAGCTGTTTTTAGTATAAAATTCTGAATGAAAACTTTTATCTTTATTGATTTTTCAGTCTAATGTTCTTTTATTAGCTGGAAAGCAAAATTAATGTTCTTGGTTAATAATATACGCACACATTTACCAGTTTATTTGAGGAAACTCATACTGTCAATGAACAGTACAAATACTTATGATTACTTTTTTAAACATGTTTATTTTATTTGTTTAGGAACATATATTTACTTGCATGCAGCGAATCCTGATGGGAAAAGAAATCAAGTGGGAATACTGGAGTCTGAATTTTTAAGTCTTGCTTCTGATCGATGCTTATCATTCTGGGCACATATGAATGGTAGTGAAATGGGCTCTCTTGAAGTAGGTGCCCAATCTTTTAACTTCATGGCCAATCAGTCAGAAATTTTTATTTTGTGGAAACGAGAAGGACATCAAGGTCCAGAATGGTTTAATATACAGCTTAACTTAGATCTTAGTAACCTAGAAATCAATGAAGAGTACCAGATCATTTTTAGGGGGATCACTAAAGGAATGCTCAGTGACATTGCTCTTGATGACATTGAAGTCACGGATAATGTCTGCACTAAACCACCACCAGATACATTTGATTGCCGAGAAGGTAGCAGCTTTGTGCCATTGTCAAAAGTGTGTGACTTTAAGATTGATTGTATTTTGAGTAAAGAAGATGAACAAAATTGTGGAGCTTGTGACTTTGAACTTAGCCAGTGTGGGTGGGAAAACTCTGGTACTGGTTCTTCATACACATGGGCCAGGCAACAAGGTAACACAGAGAGCAAAGATGGTCTTCCCCTTGAAGATCATACCACAAATACTTCCTTGGGGTGGTACATTTATCTTAAATCTAAGAGTACCTATGGTAATGAAGCAGTATTGCGAAGTCCAGATGGAGTGAGACGTCTTAAGTTAGCAGCATCAACATGTGTAATGAAATTTTGGTATTACAGTGGGGGATCTAATTATGGAAGTTTGAGAATAAAAAAACAATTTGGAGCTAGTACTGGGAGTCTATGGGAAATTCCCAAAGGGAAAGAAAAAATGTGGCATGAAGCAAAGGTTTATATAGGACGAGTAAGTTCAGAATTCAATTTGGAATTTCATGGACGTAAACAGTACTATTATACAGAAGTTGCTATTGATGACATCTCTTTTGAAAACTGTGCCCTTCCATTTGCCAGTGAAAGTTGTGGTGAAAATGAAATTCAATGCCCTGATACCAAAGCTTGTGTAAAACAAGACGAATTGTGTGATTTAACAGATGACTGTGGAGATGGGTATGATGAGTCATTCCAGGTTTGTAAAGATTTTCCTCCTCATTGTACTTTTGAAGATGATTCTGGTTGCCTTTGGTATGAAGAACATTCAAAATGGTCATATAAGTGGTCAAAGGATTCCTCAAGAACATCTCGTGGCACTGGTCAGTCAGGCCCTTTGAATGATCACACTAAAGCTTTGGATAAAGTAGGAAAATTTCTTCTTTTAACAGCCTCGTACAGTAGCACCGAAGGAGATAAGGCATATTTTTATAGTCCAAATTACAAAGTGAAGAACAGCAGCTTTTGTACCCTTCGTTTCTATTATTACATGTATAGTGAGTATGAAAAATTAGGACCCCTAAATGTGTATATGGAGTTTGAAAATAAAAGCTATTCTCCAAAACTGTTATGGACAATGGATGAAAATGTGGGACAGGTCTGGGAAAGAGTGGCTGTTACTGTAAACTCTGAAAAACCATTTCATTTCTTTTTTGAAGGTGTGAGAGACAGTTTTTCTTCTACACAGTTAGCAATTGATGATATTTCTCTCAGTCAAGATTGTATTTATTATGATGGGGAATTACCACCACCACCTTCGACCCCTAGACCAACTGTATATCCATGTAGAGAAACTGAATTTAAATGTGATATTGGTCCTTGTATTCCAAAAGTGAGCTATTGTGACTTCTCATTGGATTGTAAAGATGGGTCAGATGAGGCTGAATGTGGACCATGTGACTTTGAAAAAGATCTCTGTGGTTGGAAAGATAAAAGTTCTGGGTTGTACTCTTGGGCCAGGGATTCTGCATCATCTGAAAATGGCCCTAAGAAAGATCACACAACAAATTCCTCAGATGGTCATTATGTTTACGTTAAGAAATCTTCTGGCTTGTTTCTGTCAACAGCAAAGCTAGAAAGCCCATTGCTGCCCCCTGCATCTGCTCATTGTGAAGTTAAATTTTGGTATCATATGTATGGAAATAAAGAGGAAACTTTATTATTGGAACATAGATCTTTGAAAAATCAGGGTTTTAAAAGTTTGTGGAAAAAATACGGAGACCAAGGAAATGAATGGAAAGAGGCTAGCATAAGAATTCCTTCAGGCCCACGTGATGCACAGTTGAGGTTTACAGTCAATGTTCCATTTAGAATTTATCAAACAGCAGAAGATTTGGCAATCGATGATATAAGTTTTCTGAACTGTGACCCTAAACGATTAGCTGCAAACTGTAATTTTGATGATGAAACCTTTAATAATGGGCTTTGTTGGTGGGAACATGATAAAAATGCTGATTTCCAATGGAAAAGACACAGTAGCATAACTAGCTCTAATTTCACAGGACCAACAACAGATCATACTACAGGAAGTGGATATTATATGTACATTGATCAAAAAGGAAGAAAACAGAAGGATGTTGCTAGATTGATTAGTCCTCTTATGTCTGAAAACAATCCTGATGGTGAATGTTTTTCTTTTTGGTATCATATGTATGGTAAACATATTGGGTATCTGTACGTTGAGATTCTTTTCAAGGGAAAGACATTGATTGCTTGGGAAAGGGCTCATTCACAGGGTAATAAGTGGTTACATGGAGAAGTTTTCATTCAGATGTCATCAGATTATAGAATTGCTGTGAAATCTTCTACAGAGGTAGGAGATCAGGGTGACATAGCTGTTGATGATTTTACCTTGTCTGATGGATTATGTCCACGTATAACTACATGTGATTTTGAAATAGACTTTTGTGGTTGGAATCATACCTATGAAGGCTTAACAGGCTGGATTAGAAGCAATGGCAGTTTAAATTTTACAGAAGAAAAGCCAAAAACAGATCACACAATGAACACACAATATGGGCATTATATTTATCTTCCAAAGAAAAGATTTGGTGACTTAGCTAGGTTGACTTCTCTATATTTTAACAGTGTTGGTGAGCGATGTTTTGAAATGTGGTACATGATGTTTGGTGCTGATATTGGAACACTAGCCATCTATCAACGCACATCTGATGAAAAAAGACTAGAGAATTTGATTCCTATCTGGAAAAAAGTGGGCCATCATCGTGCAATCTGGAAAAGAGGAATGGTTTCTCTAAAACCATTAACCTCCTATTATATTACCATTGAAGCTCAGAGCGACAGGGGAACAGGTTACATTGCTGTAGATGACATTAAGATATTGAGTGGCCCATGTTCTAATCTAGGTGCTTGTGATTTTGAAAAGGATACATGTGGATGGATTCAAGATTCCACATTTTCATCTCTTGATTGGATTCGCCGTACTGGTCTTGATCAAAATTTAGGCAGTGGTCCATTAGTTGATCATACAACATTTAATATTCAAGGCCATTATATGTATGCTTCATTTACAGGGGCTAACAAAAGTGACATTGCATTTCTAATGAGTGAAGACATAGAGGATAGTAAAGAGTGGTGTATATCATTTTGGTTTTATATGGTGAATCCCCAAAATATATCTTTATCTATTAAACAAATGACAACTGATGTAGGTTGGAGACCTGTAAAATCCATTTATACTGCTGAGCCAGGTTGGATCAGTGAAGAAGTTGATGTGCATAAACTAGACAATTTTGACTTTTTCAATATTGCTGTTGTTGCAACATCTTTTGCCAATCAGAACAGTGTGACTGACAGAGGAGTTGCTGTTGATGACATTAGTCTTATGGCCCATAGGTGTGGAGTGACTACCACATCTAGTACTGTTGGAACACCCCTCCCTACTCCAACACCTTCACACTTTGATTGCAATTTTGAGATAGATATGTGCTCATGGCATAATACTAATCCATCCAGTATATACTTATGGGAAGTTGTACAAGGTCACACATACAGGAACCTCACTAGGCCTGGATTTGATCACACAACTGGTGCTGTTAGTGGACATTACCTAACTCTTAATAATGCTGCTACAAATGGATATGTGTATGCTATATTGATCTCTAAAAATACATTGTTACTTAGCAAAAAAGATTATTGCTTTAAATTTTGGTATTACATGTATGGTAGTGGAAGCTATTCCAAATTAATATTCTATCTTACTGATGCTGATGACAACAAGAAAACATGGGAATTATGGACTCGAACAGGAAATCAAGGTCCCTCATGGGTATATGAGCAGTTACACTTAACCATCAAAACAGATTCTTACTTGGTATTTAAATCTTTAGGATCACAAACATCTGTGTCTTTGGATGATTTTGCTCTACAAGAAGGAACCTGTCCTCCACGAGAATTTTGTGATGTGGAGCAAGATATATGTAACTTCAACTTTGACCCTGAAGCTGATTTTCTTTGGTCTGTTGGCAAAGCAGCTGATCTACAAAATGGTCCAACCTTTGATCATACACTTGGTACCAAATATGGTCGAGTATTTTTTATCAATAGTAGTGAGAATATACAAGAAGGTCAGAAGGCTCGAATTGACACAAAACTTCTCAACCTTGACAAAAAGTGCTTGCGCTTCTGGTATTTTCTCTCTGGGTCTGATGTGGGGTCTCTGAATGTGCTTATTAAATATGGAGACAGTAGTATGATTCTGTGGAGTGAAACTGAACCTGAGAGTAAAGAATGGCATATTTCTGAAATAAATGTAGATTCTGTTTCCCCTATTCCTTTTCGTTTTGTATTTGAAGCTGTGGCTGGAAGAAAAATAGGTCTTGGTTCCTTGGCAATAGATGACATTTCTATAAAAACAAATTGTCCTTGTACAGGATGCTGCAATTTTGAAGAAGATCTTTGCACATGGTCCAGTGATAAGAATGCTAGTATCCAGTGGATAAGAGCATCAGGAGAGTTTTACCGTTGGGGACCAGATAGTGATCATACATTTCAAAATGCCTTTGGTGTGTATCTGGTTGCACAAGTAAATACACTCTATGAACCTCGCTTGGCAAGGCTAGATTCTCCATGCTTTGGAAAAGTAGAAAACCGCTGCATTAATTTCTGGTATTATATTAATGGTACAAAACTGCCAAAGCTAGCCATACAGTCTTCATCTTGTATAAGAGATGATGTCAAAACACTACTAGTTCTTTCTATAGAACGTGGAATTGGGAAATGGATCAATGCTCAAGTTCAGGTGAATCATACTGAGTCTGAAGATGAAACTGAAAGCTATCGAGTGTATTTTGAAGCACAGTTTGATTTCTCCAACCAGCTAATAGCTTTAGATGACATCACTGTGTCTGAATCATCTTGCAATCCCATAATTCCTGAACCACCTACAATCTCATGTGACAATGAACAAACTCACATCTCTGCTGAACAAATATGCGACTTCTTTCCTGATTGTGATGATGGAACAGATGAAGATAGCTGTGGAACTACTTGTGATTTTGAAAAAGATTTATGTCAGTGGAAAATAAGAAACCAATGGAACAAGTGGACTCGACGAGAAGCCAAAACATCTCCATACCCACCTTTCTTTGATCACACTTATCTTTCAGAGGACATGGGTCATTATGTACAACTGAAGACAGATTACAATTCTTACTATGGCATAGAAGCTTATATAGATAGTCCATTACTGAATCAAGCATCTTCAACTTGTACAATGGTGTTCTGGCTGTACATGACTGGCTCTGATAGTGATGTAATTGAAGTTTTCTACAGAGCTTCTAATCACTTGCAAGACACTAGAGTTTTATTTCTTAGTGGGGACCAAGGTCCTCAATGGCATCGTGTAGCAGCTGTCATTGGTCGTGTAAATACTCATTTCCTGGTTATCCTAAAAGGTAAAACATCCTCTTCAAAAGGAGGACTTGCCATTGATGACATAAATTTTGAAAGTTGTGATATTTATCGTAAGGAAGATCATTATGTTTGTTCACAATATGAATTTCTGTGTAATAATGGACATTGTATCTCCTCTGATCTTATGTGTGATTTTAATGATGATTGTAGTGATTATTCTGAAGAAGCTATAACAGAAGATAGCAATTGTGAGGATTATGTAGGCCGTTGTGATTTTGAGCATGACTGGTGTGGATGGAAGAGAGATTCCAGTGCAAATTATAATTGGCAAAGAACTTCTGGAAATACTGATAGGTATAGTTATGAAGACAAACCGTATCGAGACCATACATCAAATTCAGTCTATGGGCATTATCTCTTTTTCAATTTTCGATATAAAACAGAAGGTCAGTTTGGTCGTATTATTAGTCCAGTGATTATTAGAAATGGAGAAAGATGCCATTTTAGATTTTTTTACACCTACAGTACCAAATTTTTATCTACAAAGTATCATGAGTACAAAGGAACAGGATTTTTAAGAGTTTTTAGTAGACAAGATGAACTTGGCATCTGGAACACAGAATGGTCCAGTTCCATTCCTTTGGGTCAGTATTTTGAGAAGGCAACAGTTGATGTAAGTCACTTAGAAGGTCCATTTGAAGTTATTATTGAAGCATCAGTAGGTAATGATCATATGGGCTACTGGGTAATAGATGATCTGTCTTTTTCTGAAGGGTGCATGGACTTAAATATTACTCTTCCCAAAATGAGAACAACAACTGTTATACCTACAAGCCCAAGACCCTGTGTAAAAGATGAATTTGAATGTGGTAGTGGAGAATGCATTAGGAGTGATCAAGAATGTGATTTTGTAGCACAATGCAAAGATGGTTCAGATGAACATTACTGTGGCTCTTGTGCCTTTGATTCAGACACCAATTATCAGTGTGGATGGAAAGACATCAGCAAAGGTCGTTATTCTTGGAAACGTCAGAAAGGAACAGGTACTTCTTCAACCCCAGGCCCAGAAAAGGATAAATCAGGCTCTGGTTATTACATGTATGTTAACCACAACAATGAAGGGCTTATATCAAATGAAGCAGTCCTGAAATCACCATTTTTCCAGAAAGCATTTGCTACATGTACTATCACTTTTTCATATTATATTACAAATGTTCAGGATCATGATTCAGCATTAAAACTATTCTTGGTACCAGGAAAAGATGCAACACCTGTTTTGCTATGGCGTCAGTTCACAGATGAAGGTAAGAGGTGGATTTCTACAGCTGTTAGTACAGGGTTTAGAGAAAAAGGGTGGTGGGTTGAATTTATAGGCATTCATACATCAAGCAAAGCTGATCTGGCCATCGATGATGTGATTTTTGTTGGATGTGCACTACCAGAAGCTCGTGTGTGTAAAGGAAATGAATTTAAATGTGAGAATGGAGCTTGTATTAATGCAACTTTAAAATGTGATTTTAGCAACGATTGTCCTGATTGGTCTGATGAATCCTTGGATGAATGTGGAAAGTATCCTGAAAGATGTAATTTTGAAGAAGGCTTTTGTAACTGGAGTCTGGAGACTGAGGATACTAACTTTCTATGGGAGTGGTTTTCTGGAAAGACTCTGTCAGATGACACAGGTCCTGCTCGAGACCATACATATGGAAATGCTACAGGTCATTACTTGTATATTCGTGCTTCTGAACAAAAGGATGGTGATATTGCAAGAATATCAAGCACAATATTCAAAGCTGATACTTCTCAAAAATGTCTTATGAGGTTTTGGTTTCATATGTATGGAGAACATATCAGTGACTTGATAATATATATTCGTCGTATTAGCTCTAAAGAGTTGACTCATCTTCTAACAATCAGCAATTCCCAAGGTGATCAGTGGAAACGAGAACAAGTAATTTTGTACAGCAGACATGATTTCCAAGTGGTGATTGAGGGAGTACGAGGAAAAGGTCCCAAGGGTGACATTGCCATTGATGATATTTCATTTACACCACAGTGTGTTCCAGTTTACATGGTCAAAACAACACCTATTCCCACAGTTCAGCCTCCCGGGGTGTGTGAAGAGAAAGGTATGTTTACTTGTGGAGATAATTCATGTATAAATTTAGAAAAAGTGTGTAATTTTATGTGGGACTGTCCATATGGAAAGGATGAACAAACTTGTCCCTCATCATGCACTTTTGAAAATGGAAAATGGTGTGGATGGTACCTTTCTGATGATGTCACTTCTAGTGTTTACTGGAATGTGACCTATACAAATGCTATAAAAAATTTGGCTGCTTATTATCCTTTAACAGACAAAACAACAAACAGTTCAGATGGATATTACTTACTGATGTGGAGTAAGTACTCAGCTATTGGATCTGAAGCACCAGCCCAGGTGAGAAGTCCAAACTTTAGTTTCTCAAGTTCAACATGTAAATTTGTTTTCTGGTACTTCATTCAAGAAAATCCCGGCAAAGTTTCATTGTCCTTGAACAGCACAGATGTCTCATCATTAGATGTCTGGATGGAAGGTCGTAAAACCAAGGCATGGACATTTTTTGAAATGGGGTTAGGTCGCAGAAGATATCCCTTCTTTTTGTCTTTTACTCGTATTCAGAATTATTTCATGAGGGGCTCTTTTGCAGTAGATGATATAGAATTTTTGGACTGTGCTTTTCCATATCCGTCCTCACAACCTGAAAAATGCCCAGTAACAAAGTTTTTATGTAGAACAACAAACATCTGCATTGATATGACTAAAATTTGTGATTTGACTGATGACTGTGCAGATGGAAGTGATGAAGTAAACTGTCTTGGTGAAAAATACATACAAGTTGACTTTGAAGATAACCTAGGAATCTTTCAACAAGGTAAAAATTCAATAGAAGATGACTTAGACTGGCAGAAAAGCAAAGGAATTTTCAGAGATAGACTTTCTTATCAGACAGGACCAACATTTGACCATACACTTTCAAGTCTTAATGGTAGTTACATTTCAATTTCTTCAGGAGGGATAAACATGTTCAACAAAAAAGCATGGCTTCTTTCCCCAGTTTTCTCTGCCAGTTCAACATGTACTATGAGATTCTATTCTTACATGTATGGGAAACTCATTAACCAGTTTACTGTCTATACTCGGACAACATCTAATGGAAACTTAACTTCTCTGTGGCAACATAATCATGCTATAGGAGACTACTGGATGAGGGCAGAGGTGGTATTTAATGAAACCAAAAATTACCAAATCATTCTTGAAGGCAAAGTGGGGCCTGACAAAGGAGATGCAATAGCTATTGATGACATCAGTTTCACCAGTGACTGTAGGTATGTACAAGTGAAAAATATGTTGTAATTCTTAACTTTTTGGAATTGAATAATTATTTTGTATAGTAAGTCACAGAAAGTTTTAGCATGAATCATGATACTGTTACGTATTAGTCTTTTGCTAAGTGAACTTTTAAAGCAATGTAAAAAGTATGAAGATAAATAAGTTAATTTCTCATTTTTTTAGATTACTTTTCACCAAAAATAATTTCCAAATTATCATATTTACAATGTAAAATATATTTTTTCTTTTTCCTCAGCTAACTGGCTTAAACATTTCAATAAATCTGCCTTCAGGATTTCATAGAAATTAGGAAAATTGTGTTAAGTATAAATGAAATAATTGTATACAGAGTTTGTGTTGGTACTTTACAAATTTTGGTTATGAAATTGTAATTTGAGGACTTTTGTTTACAGAATTAAAATACATCATGATAAACAAAGAGCTGCCATTTATAAGTACATTATTCTTATTCATTTTTAATAAAAAACCTTTTTACATCATTTTGGATATTTTACCACTAACCATCTTACTTCATACTGTGTACATTTCTTGATTGTACATAACTTTTGAGAGAAAATTTATCTAGAAAATGTTTTTAAATGAAGTAACAGTTTTATATTTGTAAAATTTAATTTCTTCTGTTCAGCTTTTCATAATTAACCCCCAGTTCAAAATAATGTTGTGTTAAATATGCATATTAATTTCAATAATTTCAATTATTAGGTAATTTTTACTTTTTACTATACTTTTAAAACTAATAAATTGCTTTTGAAGTTAATTTTTGCTCATTTTAGAAAAAGGTTTTCCTGTAAATATGTTAAACTTACATATACATAAAAAAAAACAGTATAATTAATTTTAAAAAGTGGCATTCATGTATTCATCTGTTGTTTTAGCAGAACAAAAATTAAGTTCTGCTTAATGATTAGTATACCAGACTACCATATGGATCTTTGGATCCATCATTTGCATTCTGTTACTCTTTTCCTTTTACTTTTAAAGGTTTTAGCCCCAAGATCAGTATTATTGTTTTTTTTTATGGGGAGATCTTCACATGGTTGTCTATTTTGACTCATTATCAGTTTTCTGTTCTGCATGCTATGAATCTATCTCATGTTGAGACTTTCTTCTTCAGAGTAATTATCAAATATCATCTAGTTTCCTTCACATGATTTTTTGATTCTGGATCACACATTTTACCTTACAGTTTTGCTTATCTGCATTTAGTTTCTATTACCATATTGCTTTTATGTTCCTTTGACACCTTAACCTAACATATTTTGTTACATGGTGCTAGTCACTTCCCCTAGCTTTTCAGCTAATCATGAAATAACTTCTTCCCTGCATTGTTTATCATTGCATGACTTTTACTTGCATAGTATCTCATTCTAGAGAAGCATGTCAACAGGAATTTATTAAGATTTTAGCATTTCAACTTATTTTTGTTTGTCATTCCTAATGGGATGTCAGCAAGTAATGTTCATACTCCTGCTTTGCCTCCCACTTCTTCTTCTTAGTAGATGTCTATTACTTCTACTTTTCTTTGGAACTTACTGAGTGGTCAAACGTGAGCATAAGCAAGTGTGGGATCTTTGCCATGACCTACTCTATAACTGTCTTGTGTTTCAAACATATCTCCTATCCAGATTGTCTCAAATCCTTGGTTCTTTTGTGGAATATTTGGGTTTGACAGATCCTTTTGTTTGGTCTTAATGCCTTTATCTCTTCCTTCCAATACAATCACAAATTCTGAACCAGGAAATTTCAAATCTCTTACAGAAAGGAAAAGTCAAAATATTTATGAAACTTCTCAAGAGTTTTTGTATTCTGTTTGTGGATTTGAAGAAATCAAAAGATGGGAAACCTGTCTGGGAACTGTCTTGATTCATCTTTTCTTGGAGACATCTAATTTTCATATGTATTGTTACAGAAGTTTTTGTCACAGCCTTTGGATGACATTGATGGATACAGAGGATGGTTTTCTTCGTGTCCTTATTTTTCACATTATTATTATTTTTTATCTTTGGGTTTAATTTATCAGTTCACTGAACTTCCATTTGGCTCTATGCATTTCCTGTCAACTAGTCTAGTTTTGTTGGTTTTCTCCATTTACTCAAAATTGACTTTTACATGTACAGTTGATCCATTTTGACTCCTTTGTCAATTTATCATTTTGCAAATACTCATTTGTTCACTCAACTGGCAGCATCTCTTGAGTGGATCATACATAACTCCAGTTCTCATTTAATGCTAATAAAGTATTTTGTAAGTATGGTGTTTTTGATCAACACAGTTCAACACAGTCTCCTATGGTGTTTCATGTCTCATGCAAATACCACCAAAGACATCCTTTCTGCTTTGGGGATGATAAATTCATTTCAGGTTGTCATTCAATGAGACTTTGCTTTTCAGTGGCATCTGACTTCAGACCTGTTGTCATGTGGCATGCTTGTTTCTTCCCTCACTCTTATGTTTCTCTGGTTTTTGTTGAATAAAGTGTTTATGTCAACAGTTTATGTTTGTCTCAAGTTTCTTTTCCTTCTATACCAACATTCTATCATAGTTCACACACCAATCCTACAGTGGTACTTACATCAACAGTTAGGATCTTATTGATCTCACAGCCGTTGTTTTACTGATGCTCCTTTAGCTTCATTCTTAACAGATTCATCTTTGAGCTTGTCATGTTTCTGGTGTGATGAACATTTTGACAGACTCTCTTACTAGGGATTGTTGGCTTTGATTTTTCAGTAGGTAAGTGAACATCTGGATTGTTTGATGATTGATACTTTCCCAACACTGAACATTGGACAACTATCTTCTTCCACTCTTCTGGTATTCAATTCCATGTACAAATTAACTTATTGGGAGCATAAATCTTGAAAGAACCTCATTCTTTATGCCTACACTCCTTTACACCTTCTTCCTTGGTTCTAATATTAGTTATGTGACATTCCTTTTTTTCATCATCACTCCGTTTTGGTCAACTCAGCTGTAGTACACCTTTTTGTTTCGACTACTTTACAGGTCTTGAGCCCAGTTACCAACTTGGAAATATCATTAGGCACCTTAAATGTCTATTTTTCACACTGACATTTCAATATCTACAGCCTCACAGTTTATTAATGTCCTTTGTCTGAGAAGGTGAATTCTCTTGTAGAGTGACTCAAGTGTTATCCCACTCTTGCTGACATTCTTTCTTAGTGGTCTATCAATTGTATTGAGCTAACTTATTAAGTCAGTGCATAGACATAGTAGTTCTTGTCTATTTCAAATGTCCAAAAATTGCATCTTCATTCATGTTTTTGTTTCAGGATCTTAGCCCATTCACTTATTCAATAGCTGGTTACAGAGCTCCTTACCTCCCAGATGCCATGGAAGCCATCAATCTCCTTTGTCCCAAGCCCTTTATCTTCAATCACCCCAAGTTCCTAGACACTGCCCTAAATGTTCTTACATTTCTTGGCTTCTTCCCCTTTTGAACTCTTGGCAATTTGTTTGGTCTGTCCTTTGTATCATACGGAACATGAGCCAATATACATATATATATATACCCTTCGTGCTTTAGGTAACTTGTTTTCTTAAATGGCTTTAGACTAACAATAAGGTATAATCTTGAAACCTGGTAATTTATTTCAATTAAGTATTGTTTGTACTTGTAATTGGATGGAAGCTTTAGAATTAAGTTGGAAATGCTATAAAGTGATGAACTGTACAACTTGAATGGGTCACATGATCAGAGCATGTAATGTTTAAAGGTTTTTTTAACATTTTGTTTAAAAAATCAGTAAGTAAAAATATGTAACATAAAAATTTCAATTCTAAACAGAACTTTGATACCAAATTTGTTAACATACATTAAGAATTGCGTTACTAATTAGACTTGGAATCTATAGTTTTGGTAACTCAATAATCACATACGTAATCCACATGTCACTTTGATGATCATGACAATTTTGGATTCATGTGTTGAAAATATAAATACTTGGTTTTGCTACAAAGCCAGCTAGTAAGTGCAAAGTAGAAGATCAATTGGAGACCCAAAAACGTACAGAGGCTTGAAAGTGGAGAAGCGTAGTACTCAATATGAATAAAAGGCACTGAAAAGGAAAATATGTTTAAATGCATATAAATAGGGTACATATTACAATGATCACTATACAATATATACACACACACTCTCATACATAACACACAGGCATGCATGTGTGCTTACACCACAGAAACATAAATAGTACCAATTATTAAAAAAAATTATATACCTAACTACTTACCCAACCCTTAGAGTGGTGGGTTGTCAACAGCAAACCAACACTTTTTTAAGTCTGAACTAGATGTGTTAATTCTACAGTGTGTTGTACATTCTGATAATGAGTGTTTAGTTTATATGTTGCAATCCATATGATGTTATGGAGTCATATGCATTGTTTCTTTGACATTATTGCATCATCTTAATACATATTGTTTCTAGAGGATAATGTCTTCTGTTTATTTGGACTTTTATCAGATACAGCGATGGAACACTTCCTATATACACAACTACAACAACTAGTACAACAACAGAGCCATCCAAACACTGTGAAGATGGGATGTTTTACTGCCCTGATGATGACAAGTGTATTGATGAAAAGAAAAGATGTGATTTCAGAAAGGACTGTAGTAGTGGAAAGGATGAAAGTGGCTGTGGTGAATTTTTAACTTTTGAATGAGTTATTTATTCAGGAATTTAAAGTTTTTAAGAAAAATATATTCTTTTGCTACAATGTTTAAGTTATTAACCATAAAATATTCATTTTTTTCAGTATGATTTATGAAGTGTTGGCTACATGATTTATAGCTTTTTGTTTTTCTGTTAATATCAGTAAAACTATACTATTTAACCCTGCATTAGTTTTCCAGGGTCTTCACAGACACCAAATATTTTGTAAACATCGGCACAACATGTTTGTTGTTCTTAGTATCTTCAGTATTTGGCTAGTTTGTGTTAAATTGTTACACTTAGTTTAGGTAGTAAAAAAAGAAACAAGTTGTAATATTCAATGTTCATTTATTGATTAATAAGGGAAAATATTTCGAATGTTAGTGCTTTTTGTTTCCAAAATAATAGTTTATTATTATTTAAATATTTTAAAATTTATCTTTTATGATGGGGTCTGTACGGACCGCTGAAGAGTGAGTATGGAAATTTTTTACGTAAGACTAATGCAGGGTTAAGAATTTTATTTATTTTTTGCTAAGTCACGTGAAGCTGAAGAAATGTAAATGTTACATCATTTATGTTGGTAAATTATAAGAAGAAATTAAGGTGCTGAGGCAAAAGATAATTAGAAGAGTGGGAATATATAATAATGCCATTGTCTGTTACTGTACAGTGCATCACAGTAATGCTTATGAGTAGAGTATCTTCACATAATCTATTGATGTTGACAACAAATCAAATATCCACTAGTGAGGAAAACATAATCCACTATTGTTTAGCATAATTCAATATATACTACTTGGGAGAACATCCTAACAAATTTCTCTCTTTTTCAGAATGTTAGTTCTTATTTTTACAGCTGAAAAAATTGTTTTCCCCCATTCCACTGTTATCTAGTATCATACAGTATACATAAAGGAAGAAAAAAAATCTATATATTTCAACTGAGTTACTAGGGCTTGAAGTATCACAGAGACTATTCTCTCATTATATTTTTCTGCTTTTGAAACTGATATAATATTCACTTATGAGAAAAACTTTCCATAATATCTTCATATGCATTAGAAATGCCATAACTTTCTAAAATTAATCACTCTTAAAAAGAAAGATTATTTTTGAAAAATAAAATATTACAGTATAATCCCTAATTGTTGAGAGTACCACAGAATACATTGTTCAGGAAAAAAATGCTACATAATTTTTTTCTCAGTGTCCATTGGTGAGATAGTACTCAACTTAACAAACTGGTTTGAAAGTGCATTATGATTTTCAAAATTATCTAGAGTAATTTCAGTTCTTGACATTGGCAAGTGGCAAAGACAACTTAACTGTATAATATGTTACTAATGATACTACTTTATCTTTCAGTGGAATCAACATGCAGTTTTGACAAATGGAATTCATGTGGTTGGTATATACAACATGATCCAAGTCCAACTGAAAATATACGTGTATTGAGGAATATTAACCAGGACAGTGCATTCAAGTGGACCATTGTCCAAGCCAATGATACATTCACCAAGGTGAGACATATTACTTTTTATTGAATAACTAGCGAAAGTACCTGTCTTTGCTCACGTTATTAGGATGATTTATTCTAGATGACTATGTCAGGGTGTGTGTATTCGGAACCCATTTTAGCATAAAACTAAAATCTATATACTTTTGTTGCTCCTTTACGGGATGTGACTTGTTCATATAAGTAATTTTCCCTCTGACTCTTCCTCTGATTTTAAACTTAAATAATAAAAACAAATAATATAAGACAAACCTCTTTAATTAATGAAACCTCTAAACTAGAAAACAACAAATATTTTTTTCAATTTTGTAATTTATACATTTCATTTTATTCTTTCAGCACATAGCCTTTTAAGAACAATATTAGGTTATACTGTTATTGCTAAGCAACATGATATAAAAGCCAGTGTTAGAGTGCATTGTTACCAAGATGCACTGGCTTTTCTGTATGTTAGAAGTTGTTATATAAGGAATCACATCTTTTGTATGTGGTTTCTCACTAGCTTGCCTCATTAAAAAGATGTGTATGCCCACACTCACGTGATTAAGATAAGTAATAATACCCAGATGCAGACCCTCAAGATTAACATAGTATTGGTGCAAAATTTCAGGTTTCTAGGTCCTTTACTCTTGGAGCTATGGTAGTCACACATATACAGACACACACATCCATGTCTGTCTTTTTGTGATTTATATTTGTAATATAAGGAACCACTTCTTTTCTATGTGGTTTTTCACTAGCTTGCCTCATTAAGAAGATATGCATGTATAAGCACATTTCATTTCTGTGTTTTTTCACATAAAAAGATGTGCATGTGCATACACATGTAGATAAGTAATAATATCCAGGTGCAAACTCCAGGGATCTGCATAGTATGGGTGCAAAATTTCAGGTTTCTAGGTTCTTTCCTCTTGGAGCTATGGCAGTCACACATATGCAGACACGTACGCACGCGTACACGTGTATGTCTGTCTGTGATTTCTGTTTGTGATATAAGGAACCACAAAAAAAATGCATTTCTATTTTTAATGCAATTTCTATTTGTAATATAAGGAACCACTTCTTTTCTATATGGTTTATTGCTAGCTTGCCTCATTAAAAAGAGGCACATGCTTGTGAATAAGATAAATAATACCCAGGTTCACACCCTCAGGGGCCACTTAGTGTTGGTGCAAAATTTCAGGTTTCTAGGTTCTTTCCTCTTGGAACTATGGCAGTTGTACACACACAGACCCACAGACATGCCCTTTTATTATAATAGATGTTGCATATAACAGTTATGTTAATAGGTGATTTGATACTTGTAATAGAGCTTTATCATTTGTAGAAAATCTAATAGTTATCCACAAACAGAGGTAAGATAAACAGCAGCTTATTTATCATGAATTATGTGAAAATTATTAGAATTTTTAAATATTCTGTTGTGTTGTATCTATTTAGTTGAAGTATAATCTGAATTCCTTTGAATTGTTACAAAACTTAGAGTCATAAGAAAGATACACATATGCTAATGCAGTAGTGTGTCACAGAAGATGCATGACACAGTATTATGGACAGTGTGTATACCACCAGTATATATTTAGTTCTCAGCAAATTCCCAACCATTCAAATGCCACATGGGTAGATTTTTGACAGTAAGAGGATGGATATTTGTAAAGTGAGATTGTAAATGATGTAGTGTCAAATAACACAACATTTCAAAGAAGGAAGTTTTTGGCATTCACCATGGAAGTGGAAACCTCCAGAATAGTCTAGGATAGCATTGTGCTTGTAACCACATCTCAAGCCAATCCATAGTAACTATTTTATTTGTGGACCAGAGATTTTGGTCACAAATGAGAACTATACAAAACCAAGAAGCTATTGCTCTGAAGCTGTACTTATCTCTTGGTACCATTAGCAAGAATATAAACAAGGATTTGAAACTGATGTAGCCAGTGTGCACAAGCTTATAGTCAGCAAGCATTTTTTATGAGAAAACTGGATGACGAAACTGGAATTAGAGTAATGTAATTTTACTTCATACCAGTTAAGTTCCCTGTTGCAGCTCCAGTGATGGACTTTTGTGTTTTAGTATGCTTAAACATTGTTGTTCAAATAATGGAGACTCTGTTATCAAGTATTGAACTTGTTCTGTCACAGTAGCTTGTTAGAATGGAAATTGCAGTACTGGGCAATAGTGTGTAACTTATGTGGCCAGTAGCCAACAAATTGACCACTATTGACAACTTAGAAAGAAGCTCCAGTAGCAGCATTAGATCTGAAACTTATAAAGTTTAATTAATCCTCCATATTGTAAGCATACTAGTACAACAAAATAACTTGCAGAAGTTTTATTTATTATTTAATTCTTCACTAATATTAAGCCTACATGAATTAAGAATCTAAAAGATGTGGAGATGAGATTGTCCTATAACTTGCCAAGCACAATGAACAGTCACTTAAAGCTGTAGAAATAACTCCTTAAATCTATATCTTCTGACACGTGTTATCCAATGTTAATTATTCATTAATCTAGCTATTGTTATCTCTAACTGGGTATTGCTGGCATATATTTTTTGTATAACATTTATAAATCATGAAAATTATGAACAACTTTACTTGAGTAACTACAATATTATTTACATATAAGAATTGCCAGAAAGTTATAGTCCTGGAGCTTTTAAACTATGATCTATTTATTCATTAAACACCTGACAATGAAACAATCAACAAATACTTATTCAACTGAATAATCAGCACTGTACATTCACAAAAATATATCTTAGGATATAAAATATGACATTTACAAAACAGTATGTAAGATTTCATTTGTTTCAAAACATAATAATATATCATTCAGATCAATATTAAATGTTGAATTAAATCTGTAATGTGACTTCAGTGTTTTTATTTAGTTAATTTAAAGAAATATGATGTTAAATTATTAAATTAAGTTTTAACTATTTCTAATACTAGGTTAACAAGGAGTACAGACCAGAAAAAGATCACACTTGTGACTGTATCAGTGGATGGTATGCTTTAGCAGATGGTATTCTGGGATCAGGAGGTGACACCACTAGCATTTTAACCCCACGTATCTCAGTAACTGCATCCACATGTACAGTCGAGTTTTGGTTTTACTGTGGAAGTCTCTATTGCCCTCTACAGCTTGCTGTTAATGACAGTTATGGATTTTCTCTCCTGTGGTTAACAGAGTATGTCCAATGTAAGTAAAAATAGCTTGTGTATAGTCTTGATGTGTAAAACTGTAATGCTTTAGAATATGTATGTGTATATATATATATATATATTTATATACCACATTTTTCAAAAATTGAATATAATGTTTTGAAATTGTATAAGCAAAGTATTTTAAACGTTTTTTGTTCCATATAAACTAATTTTACAAAAAAATTATTTCTGTCATTAGACTCAGTATATTCTGAAAGGTTGGGAATATTTGGTTTGTATGCATCTAGACATGACTGTCTCATGATAGTAAAATACTATTTCTAGTAATACTCTACAAACTTTAGTTAGAAATATTAAAGCTTACACACAGAGGTATGACTTTTTTAAATAAGAAACATATGTAAAGAAAATATTTTTTTGAACACTTCTGAGGTGAAAAGGCTTTTAATACAAGTGTTGGTCTTTTCATTTGTTAATTTTTTTAATATCTATAAATCAGAGTTGATGGTTTTCATATTAGTGTGATTGTATCAACAGTAATGAATAGCACATTTAAAAATAACATACAGAAATTCAGAAACATTTACTTTTAAGTCTTATAGGTTTTAATAATGTATACACAATATCTGCCAAATCACTGTATTTCAACCATTTTTATTGTAATATTTAATAGTTTTCTTTATACAATAATCTTAAAACTTTATCTATGTGCTGTTTAACTAAAAACTACCCATCTGGTGTAGACTAAACCAAAATGTAGGATTGATTTGTTATAGCGAACTTCTTCATATCAAACTCTTAGTATCAGCTACATCAACAAAGCAGTTAGATTTAAAAAATATCAATTAATTATATATATATATATATATACATATATCACTTCTATATCTGTTGTATCCCAGTCAGCGTGATTAGCCCTGGGTGAAAGGCCTCGTTGACACTGGATATGGTAAATATAGTGTGGTTGACATATTATAGCCCCCAGTGGCACAGCAGTATGTCTGTGGACTTACAAAACTAGAAACTGGTGCTTAACTTCAAACAAAAAGAAAGACATGTTATAACTTCTTCTCCTTTACTTTCACTACTGGGTTCTTAGAATAATCTAAATATAAAGAAAATAATGAAATAATACTGATATCTTACGTTTTTCATGAAGGAAATCATATTGTTTATTTGATTTGATATCAGTTCCAAAACATACATTTCCTCACACTTATAGCTATTACTCAACTGCCAGGGTTTCTTCCTTTGCCCATCTAAGCATTAGTCTGATTTTTTTCGTTGTTTCAGTCTTTTATACCCCACTCATCTGCCCTTGGTGATATTTATCTCATGACACTCTCCACCTACATCAATGTGCCCTCTATCCTGGTACTGTATTTAAGCATCTCATTCAGATAATGTTACCACTTTTTCTTGACAAAGAGTCATTAACAGGTATCCCAGTATTATGATTGTTTGGAGATACTTTGAAGTTTTTCTGTTATCTCATTGATTATGGTATTAATAATAATAATAATTTAATTCTTTTTTATATTATGATTGGCAATCTGATTTATAATATGAATTCCTGGATTATTGTATCCAGCAAGGAGGCAAATCAGGTCTATCCTATCCCACCTCTGACATGTAGCATTGCACAACAATCGGGGTGGGGTCACTCTCAGTTGATACTGCTGTTCATCTTATTTATAGTGAGATGAAGACATATATTTGGTTCTATGGTGTTCCTCTGGGGTGCTCTGAGGCTGAAATTGAGGACAGTCCTTGACATTCTAGAGAGAATTTAGATTCACTTTTTCCTGTGCCTTCTTTTAGTCTGTTGGCTTTTCAGTCCTCCTGTGGGACAGTGGTGTGTTCGCTGGGGTTCAGGGTTTGATTCCATATGGTGGCCCAACATTGCTCTTACAAAACAGATTTACCTGACAAAATGTTGTTCTAATCAATGTTAATCAACACAGTCTTTAAATGACCTATAAAAAAACAACAAAAAGGAGGCCATTTTGGGATAAGCTGCCTTTGATTTTTATTTTTCTGTTGGTTCATTGAGAGTGTGATGTTTTGGGATTTTCCCCAGGTGCTTTTGAGCCTGCACCTTACTTGATGGCTGAAAGGTCTGGGAGTGAATTTTTAGTTTTCTCTCTGTCCATGGACATTGTGATTCTTGCTGGGAGGTTCACTTATCAGTTACATGAAAGGACAGCTATGCATTATCTGCCATGGTTGTCAGAACCAAATGATTTAGACTACCACCGCCAGGTGGAAGCATACTCCGAAGCATGTTCTGGTGGGACATTGGTTGGTCTATGGACTTATCACTCTAAAATTCAAGGTGTTGTTTTCCTAACACTAAACTATGTTGGAAGACTCTCAGGATCACCAACTTCATTGATGACAAGCTGGATCTATTGTTAGCATGTACGTTTGTTCAATTGTCAGCTACTACATTCATCCCTGTTGTCGGTGGAATCTTGAATTTCATGAACTCCTACAGAGGGTCATAATTCTGCCCCTATTCATGGGTCCTGATCCCCAACATCAGCCCCTTAGTACATTGGTACCCAGAATAGATTCTCTCTGTATCCAAGAGTTCTGCTGCTTGGTCAGATTGCTGCCAGTGGTGTCGGTAATTATTGTATGCCTTCAGGGTCTGTGGGGGCTTGGTGTTGAGAATTTCTGGACATGGGGTAACCTTAATCATGGATCCAGGAGCACTACAGGTCTTTGAGTCAGGATTAGTCATTCCATTCATATCCACCCAACCTGTAGGGTTGCTGTCTCCCACAGATACATGGATTTTGGATCTTAGTTCTAGGGCTATCAGAACTTGGTTGGTCTGGGGTAAGTCATGCTAGCTCTTCCAAGGTTTTATTCCTTTACTTCAGTTCCAGATTTAACCTTCGGACTCACATCAGTTTCACATGGGTTCTGCTGTATCCTATGAGTTTTTTCTTGTTGCCTCCATCCATCACACTGCGTACACACCATTCCATAGACGACTGGTTACTGCTGACAACAATTGTCAGAACATCCATCCTTATTCTACTTTTCGAAACAAGCAAGACAGGCTTCATTTTTAGGGCTGAGACATCTGTTATTGCTCCAATTCAATATGTGTTCAGTCTGGGTATTTCTTATTTTTCATCTTGTCTCTCATTCAGACTCAGTTGATTCATCCAGCTCAATGCTATGGAATAGGAAGCCTGACACTTACTCACCTCTCTCTTTCTCCCACCGCATGATAAGTTATTTCTCTTCTGGAAATGTGAGCATTACTTGAATCCATCATGCCTTTGGGTTGAGAGCACAAGAGATCCTTTTAATGGTCTTTATGCATCCAAGGGATCATAAACATCAATTCACTGGATTCCCAAGTTTTCTTACTTGGGATCATTCTTTGATCTCAAGGGGTTGTTAAGTTGGGACACTACTAAGATATGGGTTCCTCTACCGTCAACTCATCCAGAGTTCCATCTCTTCATGAATGCCTTACTTCAGAGATTGGGTGCACATACCAATGGTCAGGAATTTCAGGGTCTACACATGAATGAAGAGGCTTCCCTACACAATGTTTTAGTCTATCTTTCTCTTCAAAAGGCAATGTTTCATGGTCTGGGCTTATTAAGGGGAAAATCGTCAGGCTTCACTCTGCCAATTCTGTGGTGGTGTCTTGTGTTTCTTATCAAGGAAGCACTTAGTTCAGGACTTCTTGTTTTTGAATCTTGGACCTCCTTTCTTGGGACCATTCCTATCATGTCACTCTACTAGCTTGCCATGTTCCATGGGTGATACCTGCAGTAGCAGGTCAGTTGTCTCAGTCCAAAGAAATTCTTCCGACAGAATAGATCATGAATCGCAAGGTTCTGTTGAATTGGCTCTCATTTCTCAATTCTGATTGATGAGTTGTCTTCACATTGGATCACCCAACTACTGGCAATTTTGTCTTCAGTACCTTACCTTCAGACTTTGGCAGTGGATGCATTCCTTCAGAACAGGATGGGATTACAACTCTAGGCCTTCCCTCCAATTCATATGTTACCCTGGGTACTAAATGTGATTTGTTCCAACCCACTGTCGGGTTCTGTTGATAGCCCACATTGGCAGCTACAGCCTGGTTTCTGCTTCTGCAGTAGCTTCTGGAGTATTCACCTCTTTCACTTTTTCTTAGGACATCTCTGTGGAGGAAGCCATAATCTGACATGGTACACCCAGCTATCCACAAGCTCAAGCTTCAGGCATATAGGTTATGCAGTCTTTTGTACGGCATCGGGGTTTAATTTATAAGGTTTCAGTGTATCTGTCTGAGTTTTTGGTTAGTCCCGAGATGAACGTGATACACAAATCAGCAATGGTTTATGGAGAGGAGGTTGAACCCACTTTGATCAGAAGTGCCAACCGTAACTCGTTTTTTGACCAGGCTCTTTGGCAGGGGTTTTTTGCATCTTCCACAATCACCTTGTTTAAGGTGGCCTTATTAACTACAGTTTGATTCTCATGATTAAATATTCTTTGAGTCCTAATACTCTCCTCAAGTCACTTTGGGTCCCAAATGACCATTCCAGTTACCTACCAGGTATATTAAGGTTACATGCTCTTTTTTCAACACCAGTTTGTGACTTGATTCGTATATGCCATGTATCCCCTTTACTTGAAGGTTTATTTTTTGTGGCTGCTGACCTACAGACATCGCTGGTCAGAGTGATTTGTGTTGTTTGTCCACAGATCATTTTCTCATTATCTCTAAATCATCAGACCATTTCTACTTACCCAAGACACTGACAGGGAAGGGGATAAATCCTTTTCACCGATTTATCTGATCACTATTTCTCACTTCTGTGTCTAATCAGATTTCGATCATGGTCATATTCAGTGAGGGTTTTGAAGGTTTTGCTGCCTGCACTAATGCCTTTAGAGATGCTAAACAATGACTTTTTATTCTGGGCTCTCTTTGAAGGTGAGTAATCTTTTGCAATTCACATCTAATCAGATTTGTCACATTTCTATGGCCTTAGCAATCCAGTTGAATTGGCTGCTTGAGGCCATTGGGCAGACTGATATGTGGACCTCCCCCAATACTTTTATCTCACATTAGTTGCATGATCTGGCAGTATCTTCATCCGAGGGTTTTCGCCTACCTACTGTAGCTATCTTAACCATTTCTGCTAGAGTACACAGAGAGGTGAGTATTTTCATTGCTACATTTCAGGGTCCCTTACCTTGTTTTCACAGGATCCCACTCTGTGGCGAGTGTTACTTAGGCAGGTGTACTTTTATCAATCCAATTACACACAAGCAACCACTAATTCAATATACTTTATACAGGTTTGGTCAATTCAGTGTTGCTTACTTTCTCATCATGATTCAGGTGGCTCTGAATGAATCACTCTGGCTACAGGTTGGGATTCACTCATAAGTATATATAGTTTGCAGCCCAACTGTCATAGCCACGAACATGGGACATAGGGACCATGGCCATTTCATTCCAACTCTGAATACTGTAACCTTGGCTATCTGGTAAAATTCCACCCACAATACAGGAATTAAGTTCTGGGAGAAGAGCAGACCTGTCCTGGATGTAGTGTGATTCCCCCACTAGGGTGCCAAGCTTCTATTGACACACCCATGTTCTATGCAGATGCTTTCTGTATGGATAATGCTCTCATCAGCCCCTCCTCCTTATCAGTGTGGGATTCTAGCTATAAGTGTGAGTAGAGGTTAACATTTTCTTAAATTCTAAAATGTATTTGTAATAATATTTACACTCTCCTGCCTTTCCTTGCCACTAAATATAAAGACTGGTAAAAAGTTTTAATTCTGTTTTGTATAACTGACATTTTTTAAATATAATAATAAAAACATATTATAGGTTGTCATTTCAATATAGTAGTAATAGTTTTGTGGTACTTAATTGATCGGATAGTTTGTAATGTGTCGTTGTTTTTTTATGTGAAATGTGTTTATTAATTATATGTACATTAACCTTTTTTCTATACATATTTTCAAGTATGTTGTATTTACAGGTATTTGCACAAATTTTTTATACAAACTTGATTAAATAGTTTGCAATTTGAATACTGATACTGAAAAAAAATGTACTTTTTTTAGTTAGTAAAACATCTGAGTGGCATCATGCACATATTTATGTGGGATCTCGTAGAAATTTTCAAGTATATCTGCAAGCTAGACGACCAACTTACACTTATCGAATGGCAGTTTCAGTTGATGACATTTCCTTCTTGTCATGTGCTCCACCTCTACCACCTCCACCTGGTAAAATAATATGTGAGACAGGGGAAGCCATGTGTGGTAATGGTGTCTGTATTAATGAAAACCAACTTTGTGATTTCCTAAATGACTGTGTAGACAAAAGTGATGAGTCTGAAGTCAGATGCCAAATATATCATGGCCGTTGTAGTTTTGAATATGGAATCTGTGTTAACTCATGGAAAATTGAAAAAGACTCTGAAATTGAGTGGAAAGTTGTCATTCCCAGCCAAGATGAAAATGGAGTAACACCTTTCATTGACCACACAACCTTGTCTAATTCAGGTATTGATTTTTTTGTGTGAGAATAACTGGTTTAGATATGTAAAATAAATATAACTTGATAGCTGTACCTGTTTACTACTCTCACTTGCTACTTCTAACTTTTGATACCAGGCATAAAATTCTACCTATAAAATGCTCACAAAAAATTTTAAAATAATGAGTTGAAAGTTCAGAAAAAAGAACATAGAAATAATTATACAAACAAAGAAAACAAAGATATCCTATGAGAAAAGAACTAGACTTAAATTTACATTAGTTAATTTGTTCTTTATTATAAAATATACTTTCAGTGGAATTAACATATTATATACTACACACTTCACTCACAATAATACCTTGAAAAAGAGTTATTATAAATAAGTTACTGTTAACTTTGTCCAATCATGACCTGGTGGTTAGCATGCCAGATTGTGGGTCTGTGGTTCACATTTCTTGTCACAAAAACATACTCTGCACTTTAGGACTGTGAGTACGTTTATAGAGTGACTTTCAAATTTCACTATTCTGTTACAAATGCTCAGAAGTTAGTCATGGATGCTGTTGACCAACCTTTACCATCCATTTACTCTATCAGCTCCTAATTAGAACTGGCTATTGCAGATAACACAAATTTGCAAAGCAAACAAATAAGCCATTATCTTTTAAAGTGTATATATATATATATTTTTGCATATGTTTTGCCTATAAAATACTTTGGAGCACCCTTGTTTGTTGCAAATGTAACATTACATAAATCAAAATAAGCACTTTTCAATAAGAAAATTTTATTTAACCAAGAGTGTTGCAATTTTCCTACAATCTAATTTTAACTTAGAGGTATTACAAGTAAACAGCTTACATAACTTAAAATATTATTATAGATACATTTTGTAATAGTGGTAAATATTATTTTCATTATTAATATATTAAAGTCACTCTGAAATATGAAGTTTAACAAATGACATTGGGGCCTCTCATTAAATGCTTCACTTTTTGTTGGGTTAGAAAGCTCCTTGAATGTTTTGGTCAGTTTTTCAGGTTTCTCATGCAATAATTATGAGTATTTTTCTGCTTTATAGTCATGTCCCAATCTTAATTAATAAAAGTGATTTGTACAAGTTAGTTTTCAGAGAACATTTTGGAAGAATTCTAGTTTTTGATTTAGAAAATTATAATTGTATACATATTTTGTGTTTATATTTTATTGACAACTTAATCAAACTCTGTAATTATTTTTACTTGTGTTCTTATATTTATTAACGGTTATCATACACTTTATGACTATACACTATTATTACTTGTGTTCTTCTTATATTTATTAACGGTTATTATACACTTTATTACTATACACTATTATTACTTGTGTTCTTCTTATATTTATTAACGGTTATTATACACTAATACCTCCTATGTCTATACATATACATGAAACACATTTATTCCAATGTTTATGCAAATGAGGGTTAAAAAAAGATACATTTATGAAGAAGCAACAAACCATTAAGTACTGTTGACTATAATGGTGACAGTTCAAAGAGTCTCAGAAGTAACATAGTGTTCTAGTTATTATCCAAGCACTATCATATTACACACAATAGATTCATTATTATGTTAGAAATAATGATTGCTTTTTCTTAATTTAGTACTAAATTGTAATGTTGATAAAGAATCTTCATGTCTAGTATTGTGCGGTGTTAGATGTTTTCAAGAAGATACATTTTAAGACTAAGCTTTATGAGCTGTTGTTTACATCTTTTCATGATTGCCTTATAGGTTTTTTCTTTTGATAATATAAATGTTGGGTAAGGTGGGTGTACTTGCAATTAACTAAGTAATTTAAAATAGTAAAATAAAGAAAAACTCAAAATTTAAATTAGCAAAAGAAATAAAAAAGGAGGAAGGAAATATGTAGATTTCAGTGATCCTACAATAAAAATTATTTCATTCAAAACCAAGTAGAAGTTAATACTCATTTTTTACTATATGAAAAGTTCATACTTGATTTTATATATAATGTAAATTTTCATTTTGCACACAGACATGTCATGCAAGGCTCGGCATCACCAAGTGGTTTGGGAACTAGACTTGCAATCCTCGGGTTGTGGGTTCGAATTCTTGTCCCACCAAACATGCTCACCCTTTCATCTATGGGTGCATTACAATGTGATGGTCAATACCACTATTCGTTGGTAAAAGAGTAGACCAAGAGTTGGGCAGTGGGTGGTAATGACTAGTTGCCTTCCCTCATATAGCTTTGCACAAAATTCAAAACAAAGAAACAAACACATCATGCAAAGTTTTTCTTTCTTATTTCATTCATGAATTTTCTCTCTAGATTTATGAATTTAACTTTATTCTAATAATAAATAAGATACTATTGTAACAGGTCTGCATGATATTAGAAAAAATCCAGTATCACAGTAAGACTGAAACCACAGAACAGCCAAAAAAAATAAAAAAATGATGGTAGGAATTTAGGTTTAAAAAATCTTTTAAGCCTCAAAAAAGATTTTACAGCCTGAAAGACAACCCGAGGTGGTCAGAAACTTTTGCTTCTCTTCACTCTCACAGGACAGTGTGTAAAGTGAAATACTTATATATGGTTATCTTTTATATTTTAACAAAATGACATTTATGTTTTGATGGTCCAATAAAAAGAAACAGGAAAATTAATTTTCTCAGTATTCAAATTGATAAAGATAAATATTAACAGGTTTGAATTAAAAGTGAGTTATATTGAAATATCCAGAACGTAGTCAAATCATATTAAAAATATTTTATAACCTTGATAATGTTTTTCTCTCCAGGGAAATTTATATCTGTGGTACGAAAAATCTACCCAAGCAATTCAGGTAAAAAGGCAAGACTTGCATCATATGTCATTGATGGGTCTAAAGATGAGGATTGTCGGGTGAGTTTCTTTTCCACCAGGTATTAGAAAATGTTTATTACTATGCATGTGTTTGTTGTTGTATACTTTATCAATGAGAAATGTGAAGCTACATTTAGGTAATAATATACAGTTTGTCTTTGCATGGAACTACTAGAAAAAACCTAAGTAAATCAGGGTACAGGGGTATAATAATGCTATTCAGCAAGAATGTGAAATCTGATTATTTCTGATAAAGTACATTACCTCTTCTCACATAAATAGCTATTCTTGGTTAATGCTGCCCTCTATGCCAAAAAACAACGTTTACACATGCCACAAGCCTTCTGCCTCCCCTCCATTGGAAATGACTCATTCTAATGTGTCTCATGCAAATCATCATGCAACAATCTTCCACTAATGAGAGTGCCACACACTCTTGTTACACATGTGACTCTCTCTATTCAATTCTACCAGTTAGGCAGGTATTGTATTCTAACGTTTAGTTTGTTCTCTCTCAGTATGTATTTTATTTTCATGTTTTTCCATGTCTTTGTATTAATTTCTCTCAACAAATTTACACTTTATTATACAATAGTGATATTTGCATTATTCTGAAGTGGAATTATTTTATATTTCTACCAGGTTATGAAACTTATTGTTTTATTACAAAAACTTTTATTGTTTCTGCTTTGTTGTGTTTGGTTATTAATTCTGCATTATGAATTTTCCATTACCATTTTGGAAGTTATCTCTTCTATTATTAGCATTTTACATAGGCTTTAGGTCATGGTATTCTATGGGAAGATTTTCAGCTTTATTTCATCAGGAGATTGATCATGCTATGAACTGATCTTTTTTGAGCCTCACCTCGAGTTTGGGGGCCCACACATTTTCGCTACAGTTCGGCGACTTTGGAAAGATAAGACACTATACTGTTATGGTTTTTGTATACTTTTATTGTTAATTTTATTATATGTCATTATTTGGGTTCCATACCATAAGTCTCATTAGATTGGTTCATACTCACAGTTCAGTTTTTCCTGGTAATTCTATCATTAATTTCACTATATTCTTTTTCTTCCTATTCAGTTATTACACTATTGTACATAATTATTGTTCAGTTACGAATTTCATTTAGTGCTTAATGATATTCTTTGTTATGTTTACCAGTAGTTCTACTTCTGCATTAATCATTAATTAGATTAAGTATCTTGTTCAATTAGGCTTAATAAATATCTGTTATTATTGGTTTCCCCATGGTTCCTTTTACAGGTTTATTGATATTTAAGTTATTTATCCTTTCTTGAACACAGAACATCTTGTCCATATGTTTATTTCACTACAGAATTTCCCACCATTAATTTCGTTTAATTTATGCTTTATACTTCTTGCCTTTAATTGTGTTTAACTTATAATTTCTACTTCTTACCCTTAATTTCGTTTGTTAGGGACCCTGAGTGCCAGAGCCCACCCTACCTGCTCCCAATATTGCTTGTCTTCCTCCTATAATGGTGGATCCTGTTTTCAGATGACCTATATTTGGTCAATTTTCCTCCACCTTCTCATGGAGTGTATTCCAGGCCTCTACTGCAGAATGTGCCAGGCCTATATAGATTATTTTTTGACACGATTCCTCCCCTTACTCCATTTCTTTGTCTGTTATTTTTCCCTTCCACCCTTACCCATTGGGTTTAGATTGTGATTTGATTGTTTTTTTCTTCCTTGTATCCTTTTTCCCATTTTCACTTACTGGTGTCTTCACTCCTAACATGCACCTCCTTTTTTTACTGCATGTCTACCCTGCTGTCAGTTGGAGGTACTTCATCTGTTGAGCACTGGGACTACATCTCATATGTTTATCTCCCGTTCTTGGCTTTGGGTAGCTGTATAATTCTTGGGGTACTGTCATTCACCTGTTAACATCCTTCACTCTTTCATGAATTTGGGACAGGGTAAGTTACTTTTCTTATATGTACCTCTTCTTTTCAGGGGCATATCCCTCTTTTTCTTACTGGATCCCTCTCTGTGGCAAGTGGTGACTGACCAAGTATTTTTTAACCTTTAAAATCTGTACTGTTCAGCCACGTCAACTTGCTTATTATGTTCCATGGCTATGCAATGCACACTGTTGAAATGGGGGGTTCCACAAAATTGCTTGTTGATTATCCTTGTGATGGAATTGCTTCATAAGTATGCCCAACCCAGACCATACCACCGATGGACACCATGGGTAAAGCAGAAGGGGCTAGAGGTCCATCTCTGCCATGCATTGTATTGAATAAATCAGTATGGTCTGCTTTTAAAAATAGGGTTTTGTGGTCACCCATTGCCTTGTCTAAGGTGTTGACAGTTCTCTAGACTCTCCAATGTGTTTCACCTTCCTTTTCTTCTAGTGGAGTTTGGGAGTCCTTACTACTACTCCACCTATTCACTGTAGGATTCTAGCTATTTATGTGAGAAAAAGTAATGTACTGTTTCAGAAGTTATAATTTTCCTACATTGAAAATGTATTACCGATAGGTACTTACCTTTGTTCACACTTGTCCCCCTTCCTCCCCACTGAAAACCGGTGCCTTCCATTTTCTGCCTAAACTCGAAATGATAGTCTGGTAGAATTTAAGAGAGTCACATGTGTAATAAGAGTGTATGGCACTCTCATTGGTGATGATTTGCATGAGAGACACATTGGAATGAGAATTTCCAATGGAAGGGAGGCAGAAGGCTTGTGGCATGAGTATTTTTTTGTTTACATATAGAGGGCAGCACTGAACAAGAATAGCTATTTATATGAGCGGAGGTAAGTACTTACAGGAAATACATTTTCAGTATAGGAAAATCATAATGTTTTCCTAAAGCATGTAAATTGGTTTTATTTTATATAGTTTTATTGGTTTTAGTTATTTTTTTACTTCCATATTTACAGTAAATTATTTTCCCAGGTTCGTTTCTGGTATAATATCATAGGAGAGGATATTGTCTTGAATCTACTTAGACGTACTAGCTACAGTGAAGATGGTTTAAATTTGCTGCAGTCAATTCAGGTTGAAGATGGGTCACTTGCTTTCTGGAAGAAAGGGGATTTTCTGATTAGTTCTTCGACAAATAGTGATCCTTACAAAGTCAGTAGTAGTTAAAAACTTGTTTTAAATCTGTTTCTGTTTGTGAATATAACAATGAAATTTAAAGGCTATTTATGTATGATTTTTTTTCATTTATAGTAAGACTTAAAGATACAATATACTTTGTTTGCTTCAGGGATATAAAAATCCATCTTTGAGAAGCGAGAGTGACTATCAATCATTTATGTAGCTCCTGTACCTAAGAAGACTGGTATTGTTGTTATTAATTTATAATGTCATGTTTTCTCAGTCAGGATTAACTTTTAACAGAAAAAGTTAGTGAGGTTTTAAAATAAATTCACATAATTTTTATTGTGTTTGGGTGTTTGAAATAAATATTGTTTAACTTGTGTCTAGTCTTTCTTTGCATCAGACTCGGTTAAGGTCAGAGAATAATTAAATGTTTGCTTTGCAAAACATTTTCCAGCAGATTTCCTTGATAAAAAATGAGTTAACCTCAGAATGCCACACTAATATTGTAAGCAAATATGTATGTATATATATAGATTAATTGATTTATTTAAAGATTATTTTCAATGAATTCTAATCATGTAACTTGGAAGAATTATATTTTCAAAAACAATGGTAATTATGTTTTCATTGTTTTTTCAATTGGCTTACCAAGTATTACACAATCAGCATTTTCTTTGAGTGTAATTTTTAATAGATTTTGTCAGAGCATCATATGCTTTGTGAAAATGTTCATGTTATTTGTTACAAGTTTATTCTTTGATTTTGACCAGTTTTCTGAATGTTTTAAAGTGAAAACATTTGTTATATTTTGCCCGAACTCCTCCATTGTAGGTTATAATCTTGTAGCTGCAGTATTCATTGAAACTATTTTTATTACTGTGGGAGCTGTACAGAAATAAATGTTAAATTCTTGTCTTCTGTGCATCATTTCAGGATTACCAAACATATAGTTTTAGCTCTTTTATTGTACAGGCCCAGCATGGCCAGGTGGTTTAGGGTGCTTGACTCACACTTTGAGGGGTGTGGGTTCGAATCTCCATCCCACCAAACATGCTCGCCCTTTCAGCCATAGGGGCATTATAATGTCATGGTCAATCCCACTATTCCTTGGTAGGAGTGTCGCCCAAGAGTTGGCGGTGGGTGGTGATGACCAGCTGCTTTCCCTCTAGTCTTTCAGTGCTAAATTAGGGACAGTTAGTGCAAATAGCCTTCGTGTAGCTTTGCGCAAAATTCCAAACAAACCAAAACAAACTTTTGTTGTACAGTAAATTGCTTCTCTGTATTTTTATTTTATTTTATTGTTTTACACTAATATTAAAAGCATGTTTTATATCACAATCATGTATTGCAATTACAACTATGACACACACAAAATATTCAACCAATTTAATGTTTTCAAATAAATCCAGATTGTTTTGGAAGCTGTTGTTGGGGTTAAGTATGGAAGTGTCAACATAGATGATGTATCCTTGACTCCAGGATGTGAAAAGTCAGAAGGTAACAGAGTTGTTAAAACTAATTATATTTCAATTTATACTCTTAACTCAGTTTAATGAACTTTTGCAGTATCAGTATTTTAAATCAGTAAAATCTGCACTAAATGAAAGCAAAATGTCATCATAGAATTTCAGATGAAAGTGATTTAAAGCTTATAATATACTTATAACTGGTACACATCTATTTTGAGAGCAGATAATAAAGAAAATAAGCTATTGATGTTTGAATTAATAAATTGTATATTTTAAATAAAAACAGGAATGTTATAATTTTTTCTTCCTTTGTTAGTAAAATGTAAGTGGTACATCTACTACAAACGTTTTATGAAATATTTGTAATATTTCACTTCAAGTGAAAGTTATTATAATTAATATAAATTATATATGAAGGTATTATTAATAAAACTTTTCTTTTTGTGCAGTTTACATTAATAGGTATTAAATAGGAATAAACATCTGCTTCACATAAAGCTCAATCAGTTTCATTTTTGTATATTTAGGATACCTTACACTCATTTGTAACTGCTTTCAAACAAATATTCTTTCATAATAAGCATTTATACATTCTTGATTTTCGTGCCTTTTGCATTTTCTTTTTCATTTGTTAACACATGTCACTCAAGTAATTCAAAAAATATGTTTCTAAATCTGGTATTATATTTACATATATCAGCATAAATTCAATTCTAAAAAGTGCCTTACTAGTAGTTATTAAAGGTTTAAACCTTCAATTTTGTGGTAAAGCATGTGCTCAATTTGTGTTTGGTTTGTGAAATTAGGCTCAAGAAGTTTTTTTTTGTGGTGGTGCTTTAATTGTTGTAAATTCAGTTTCCTGGAGGCTAAGTTTTTACCTCAGTTGGTAGACTTTTCATTTGATAGGTAACATGGAGATGAAAAAGTTATGCTACCACAACATTATTTCATAAATTGTATTTACAAAGTAATGTTAATTACAAATATGTAGCTGGGAGTTAAAATTTCTGAAGATTCTGTTATATTAAAAATATAATCAGTTTCAATAGCACAATTTCTTATTGATATTCAGTTTCTTTTATTAAGATGGAAGTAATTAGTAAAAAAAAAAGATTACTTCATTGTTCATAAAAGAGTTGTATTAAGTGCCGGCCAGTCAGTGGAAAATTTCCTTGAGTAATAAGGAAATCTTGAAAACATCATGCAGTTAGTGAAGCAATAATAAAATTTAAAAACTTATATACACACACATACATATTAAAAGTAGGTAGATGCATTAATAAATATGTTCACATAATTTTCAGATAACCTTATAGAGAACAGTTACAGGAAAATCAGAAACAGTATACAACTGGAAGTTAAGTTTGAAGTACTGTTTATAAAATGCAAAAGAAAGAGCAAGCTTAAAACTGCTTATACAGTGTATTTCAGTGAATTACGAGTTGTTTTTTAAATTTGGGAACAGAAATTAGAACAATGGACTGTTACTGTGACATGGTTTTGGAGAAAAACATTATCTTCAAGAAGTAATTTTTTATTAACACTATGATATACTTTTAAAAAATGTATCATAGAACTTTCTTTTGGTGATTTTTGTAATCATTTTGAAATATACTTCATACCAGTATTGTTCTATGGCAACACTTTATATTGAAGTGGTTTAATTTGACTGTTGTATATTTTATATTGCTTAGAACTAGTTAACCATATTCAAGTAGTTATCAAATGTATATCCAAACTTGAAAATATTATTTTTTATTACCTAGTAAACACATAAATAAACATTTAAAAAATGCATATAACACAAGCTTTATTATAAAAGTTGAAAATTTTGACTTAACTGATATTGTTAGTATTTTAAGCAAAACATATTTATATATTTTGAAGAATGGGTATGATCCAAACCAAAACAATCAACTGTGTCTGTCAGTTGTTTTCTTCAACTTCTCCATAAAAAAAAAGAAATTCAAAACATGGAGGTTTTTTTTTATATATCACAATAATAAATGTATGCTTGTTTTTGTTCATTTATAAAAAAAAGCTTTAGTTTTATGTCATTTAAATTGTTGTTAAATTAGTTTTTTATGGGCTACCTCATCTTTAATCTCTAATTTAATGACAATAAGAAACTGATTAAATAATTTGCTTGTCACCTTGCAGAGGAATTACCAGGACAACCAATAACAGAAGTCCCAGATGACTGTAGGCCAGAAAAACTACCATGTGACAATGGTCAGTGTTACTCACTTGTGCAAGCATGCAACTTCATTGATGACTGTGGTGATATGACCGATGAGAAGGACTGTGGTATGCATAGTGTTCTACTACTTCATGTTGTGTCTATTTTATTGGAATTTAAGCTGTTATTTGACAAGAGTCTATGTGTGGGTGTGTTTGTGTTCACTTATAACTGGTGAACCACTGGATGTGATAAAGTGTGGTTGTTGTTCAGATCTAACACACCTATGTCATCCTTTGGGTCCATATGTAATCCCTGTGCTATTTTATTTATCTCAACCAAATATAGCATGTATTCTTGAGGCCCCCGAGCAAGTGACATAGGGGGTCTGGGTTTGGACCTGACCCCCTATGTCACCTCCCATGTTTTCAATTAATACATCAGCTAGTACATGTATATAAATAAATAAGAAAGACTCAGTTTTGAACTGTTCTGTTGTATTCCAGTGTTCTTTCAGTGTTGTATAATTTATTTATCATGCTTAAGCTGACTTATCAAAGTTTAATATATACATAAATTGGTGTTTTTTTAAGTTCTGAAAATTTTAAGGTCTATTATGTTTTGTCACTCACAGTATGTTTATTTATTTAACCTAAAGTTATTCTGGACAACACTTTGGCTAGAGGATTTTTGGAGGGTGTCTGATGTATTTACATATTTTACGTGATAATTTATTTTTGAGCTAGAAAAGTGATTGAGATTTGTCTTTTTCATTATATTTGTTGGAAGTATGATTTACAATTGAAAAAATTAATAATAATACAGTTATAATAAAGTTTAAATCCACTAATACAGAACAACAAGTTTGAAATTTTCACATGAGCTTGTTTTTCCTTAATAGTAAGTCTAAGGTATATTTTAGATTACTTCACACTGTATTTTGTATTTTCCTCCTGTTAGTATAATATAATTTACTTTTATGTAGTTTTTAAATAAAAATATCTTGATTACTAACATATTTTCAACACATTTCATGAAGCTTAAAATAATGTAATTAACTGCTAAACATTTTATAGGCACATCATGTGATTTTGAGAATGGGATGTGTGGATGGTACAACTCTCGTGGTTTGAAGGCAAACTGGACTCTTGGATATGGGGTGACATGGTTTTATGATTCTGGACCAAAATTTGACCATACATTCAAAAATGCTAGTGGTGAGTAAGATTATTTGTGTGATTTTACTAACTTTAAATATACATAAAGATTGATTTTCAGAATTAATTTTGTGTGTGTGTGCACTTTACAATATAAGTATTTACTAAAAATTGCCTGACTTGCCCTTCAAGAGTTTGTGATGCTGTTGAAAATTGGATACTTACATAAAAAAAACCATATTAGTGGCTTTAATATTTGTTACTGTTGCGTCATCGAGATCATGTGACTATTCTCACACCCTCTATATTCTAGAACTATCTTGTTTCTTCATGAATGCCCTAGCATTTACTAGATAGGGTAGTCTGGTATATATATATAAGAGGGTGACAACGTGACGCAAGAATGTAATGTGTGTGTAGGTAATGAGTAATTGAACTGCAGTCAGAGAGAGACGTATTGTTGAAGTTAATTTTCGTTGATATAGCGTTTGTTTTAGCGCGATTGTTGAAAACAAGTGTATCATAAAGTTATATTCGGAAAGAATAAACCAGTTTTATTAAGTAAATACTTGTGTCACTAAAGTTTCGTTGGAACGAAGTTACGGGAAGTTAATTAACAAACGGAGACGTAACAAATTGGTGTCAGAAATGGATAAAAAAAAATGGAAACGAGAAGCGGCAAATCAAACTACAGCCTAGCAGACTTGATGGCAGCAATACACGAACAGCAAAAGAAACAAGAAGAAAGAGAGGAGAAATTACAACAGTTGTTAGAGGAAAAAGAAAAGAAACAAGAAGAACGAGAAATTAAACAAGAAAAGAAACAAGAAGAACGAGAAATTAAACAAGAAGAGAGATTACAGCAGTTGTTGGAGGAAAAGAAACAAGAAGAACGAGAAGAGAAATTACAGCAGTGGTTGGAGGAAAAAGAAAATAAACAAGAAGCGAAATTACAGCAGTGGTTGGAGGAAAAAGAAAAAAACAAGAAGAGAAATTACAGCAGTGGTTGGAGGAAAAAGAAAAGAAACAAGAAGAACGAGAAAATAAACAGGAAGAAAGTATCCAACAGATACAGGAAAGTCAGCAGCAACTACAGGAAAGTCAACAACAGTGGCAAGAAGTACAAATGGAAAACATCAGTAAATTTAAAAGCGAATTTGATACGTTAATGGACGACT